TTATAAAATTTATCAACTTCGATCTTTAGATTAGTTATCTATTTATAGATATAAGATATATAGATATTAGGTTGTCCGGAAATAAATGAGCGTTTTGTATTCTTTATTATTTGGGTACATTTTTCCCAATAAAATATGCTCTGTACCCTGTAATGTTATATACCATTAAAAAGCTGAGTTCGGGTTCTCTTTAACCATACTTTTAAATTTTGTTAAAAATAAAATTTTTTGCGAATTTTAAGCTTCGCCGTTTTAGATGCCCGAAACTAACTTTCGCCAGATTTTCTTTTATGAGTTCAAACTCGGTTGCAATGCAGCTGAAACGGCACGTAACATTAACAAAGTTTCGGGCCAAGGCAGTGTCGGCGAGTCAACAGTGCGAACTTGCTTCCGAAAATTCCGAGCTGGTGATTTTGATCTCGAAGATAAAGGAGGTTGTGGCCGTCCTGTTGAACTCGTTGACGACGAACTGAAGACCCTGGTGGAAGCAAATCCACGTACGACTATTCGAGAGCTTGCGGAGGAGCTTGGTGTGGGCAAGACGACCATTTCCGGCCAACTGAAACGGATTGGAAAGTCAAAAAAGCTCGATAAATCGGTGCCGCACGAATTGAATGAAAATCAAAAAAATCGTCGTTTTGGGGTGTCGTCTGTTCTTCTTCAGCGCAACAAAAACCATCCATTTCTCGACCGGATCGTAATGTGCGACAAAAAGTGGATCCTCTACGACAACCGGCGACGTTCCGCTCAGTAGTTGGACGCCGGAGAGGCTCCACAACACTTTCCAAAGACAAATTTGTACCAAAAGAAGGTTATGGTGACTGTTTGGTGATCCGCAGCCGGTCTAATCCATCACAGCTTTCTGAATCCGAGCGAAACGATTACGGCAAAGAAGTACTGCCAACAAATCGACGAAATGCACCAGAAATTGCGGCGAATGTGCCCGGCATTGGTCAACAGAAAAGGTTCAATTCTTCTTCACGACAACGCTCGTCCGCACGTCGCACAACCGACCCTGCAAAAGCTAAACGAACTGAGCTACGAAACTTTGCCTCACCTGCCATATTCGCCGGATCTTTTGCTTACCGACTACCACTTTTTCAAGCACCTCGACAACTTTCTCCGGGAGAAATGCTTCAACACTCAAGACGATGCCAAAAACGCCTTCGCCGACTTTATCGCCTCCAGAAACCCGGACTTCTATGCTACCGGCATCAATAAACTTGTTTCTCGTTGGCAAAAATGTGTTAATTGTAGTCGTTCTTATTTCGATTAATAAAGTTTTGTTTGGATCAAGTTATGCGATTTTAAATATTCGAGTTGAAAACGCTCATTTATTTCCGGACAACCTAATAGATTTAAGGCAATTATCTTTTTCTACAGTAGACACAACAACAGCCTCACTATCAGTGATAATTCAAAAAGCAGATACGGTATTTTCTCTAGTAGTAGTGCACCATGAGCGTCGCCTAAATTGCTCGAAATCTCAAAAACCGCTTATCAGAACCTATTGATGTGGGGTCAGAAAATGTAGCTGACGATGAGATCTAGTAGGGGATTAGAGTGTTGAGCTTCTGCGAAAACATCGAAACCGTAAAATAGTCACCAACTCGGCTTGCCGATGCACTACTATTAGAGAAAATACGGTAACAAATAATGTTTAGGCTACGATCTCAAAAATTGGCTTTGTGACAAATGAAACTTTGAACATAAACTTGATTGTAAACAATGAGAGCAAAAGGAAAGTTGATATGGTAAGTTACCTTTTAGTTGTCTTTTAAAAATTTAAACTTTAGTTAAAAATCTCATTGGAAGGAACACAAGAACTTTTGGCTTTTGAATTTGGAAAAAAGCAATATTCGATTGAAGATGGCTTTCAAAATGAAAAAGCACAATTCGATGAGAGAAAGATATTTTCAAAGCATCATGGGAAAATGAAATGTGTAAGTTGTAGTAATTTTTGTTTGTTTTAGCAACAAGACATTCGTTTTAAAGCCAAAGCTATCTGGTAGAACAATTTAAAATTCGGATTGTTTGCGACAAGTTGGAGCTTCTAAGACAAGACAATTTCTAAAGAATCGAGATCGGTTCTACGAAAGGATGATCTCAATTCAAAGTTCGAAACCGTTTACCGACTAGGTGAATTTTCTAAATGAACTGCGGTGTTCATAATATTATAATTTTTTTGCTAAAGATTTTTCAACTATCGATTTTATGGATTCATAACCTCTATAATCAAATCGATAAGCTCCGCCTTGTCGCAAACAATCTGGATTTAAAATTGATCTAGAATTTAGCCATAGTTTTGAGATTTAGCATACCGTAAATACTGTAATAGTACCCCATCCCCATAATGACGGTGCGGAGTGTTGCGTAGTCTAGCTTTGGATGCGTTTTTTCTCGAGACTGGTTTATGCTACAATGCCCGCTTCGGTATCAAAAAATAGCCCTGAATTTCAGCAATTTTTTGCTACCAAAGACACTTTTTAGAAAAGTACGGGTGCTTTGAAAAGAATGAAAAACTAAAAAACTTTTGCGACTACGCAACTGTACGAGGGGGGTGGGGTACTATTACAGTATTTACGGTAGGTACTCCGACCAAAGATAAAGAACCAAACGGTCCTTTATCTTACAAGGGAATGGCCCCAAGTTTGGAATCGTTTTGACCCTTGTAAATCTTATAGAATCGACCATGGAGATCACGAATACCTAAAATTTTTTCGCCAAAGACCCTGCAAACGCGAGAAATTCGGCTTTAAAGCTTTAGGACTCTCTTTTTGGGGCCTGTTTACGAAAATGAAAGAGTGGAGCGGTGGCTGAGTGGATAATGTGTCGGATACAAAGTTTTCGGTCCGAGTTCGTTTCCTCTCTACGCCAAACTTTTTTGCTTTTAAATTTTTGATTACAATTCATTTTTCCTATGCGGGAACAACTTTTTCTGCTAAAAACAAAAGCAGAAAGTGGAGCAGATTGTTAGAATTTGTCATCTAATTGAAAGTTTGATAAAATTCCGTTTCCAGGCAATCAATGTTCAACCACACTGCACAGAATCTCTTGTGATTCCATTCGAAATCCCTTGCGTTCCCTCTTCATTTGAATGTGCGATTAGCCGGCTGTTCTACGTGTTAAACGTAACAAACGTTGAAGAAACAATCAATTTTTGCATAAACAATTCAGGTTTCAATTCGTTCCAAAGAAACGCTAAACTCTTCAACGAGTTGTCAGCTTCCAATTGTAATCGGTGATATTGGATTTGAAAAAGTTGGAGAGTACGGTAAATTCATTTATAGAGACAATCTATAGGAAAGTATTGATATTTTCATTTCAGATCCTCCACCTGTTTACGCGGAGAACCCTAAAATGAAGCCCGCCTCTTGAATAATGAATAAAAATCGTATTTGCTTGAAGCTTTAATAAATTACATGTACAAATGGTGTCCGATGTCAGTCACTGTTTCTGAAAGATGTTTCTGGAAGTTTTTTCTGGAAGTATTTCAGCTAATTTTGGCTTAAAGAGATGTAGAATTCGTAGCAAAGATAAAGCCAAATTTCAGGCCAAAAATTGTTCTCAAAAATTTGGGCACAGAGAAAGCGGAAAAGCCATTCCCTTCCCAAAATGACATTCCCACCAATCCCGAAAAAAAAGTTCCAAAAGGGGAACCCTTTATACAGTGCGTGTCAAATTCTTAAACGCACCCTCTAAAATAGCGAATTTTGCATTTTGAACACCGCTACAACTATTGATCTTTTTCTATTAGAAAGAGCATGTCTTGAAACCTTAAAAACAAGAAAAATAAGCATACTATAAAAAGTATAAATTTTCGAAATAGAAACTTTTTGTTGATTTAACCGTTTCAAATTCTTAAACGCACCCGCCTTTGCTGTTGTTATCTGAAATTTTTCGTTTTGTTGTGCATATTTTTTTATTAAATTTATAATTTTTGTTAATTTCCAGGTAAATGGCACACGGAAAGCTGCTCACGGATTATGAGAAAGGCCAGATTGATGCCCGTTTGAGGATTGACGACTCAATAAGGAGTCGACCTAAATCCAACCGTTCCCGATTTGTTTCAATACGACAACGGGTCAATGCATCGAGCCGGAGGCGCCCGAGACTGGCTGAACAACAACAACATCGCAACTTTGGACTGACCCGCTCAGTCTCCTGACGTCAATCCGATAGGGAATTTATGCCGAATACTTGTCCAAGCTGCCTACAAAAATCATCGTCAGCTTTAAGACTTATGTTTGTACCTAAAACTGCGAGCCGTTTGGCCTGAAGCTATCTCGACGTCTTTGCTTTTCAAAACCTCATCAATTCAATGCCAGACCGCATTTTTCAAGTAATTAATCGTTCTGGTGCGTGTGCAGATTATTAGTTTTGATTTTTTACCTTTGATTGTTAATTTGTGTCGATAAATAAAATAATTTCATAGTGCGTTTAAGAATTTGAAACGGTTGATTTAGCAAAAAGTTTCTATTTTGAAAATTTATACTTTTTATAGTATGCTTATTTTTCGTGTTTTTTAGGTTTTAAGACATGCTCTTTCTAATAGAAAAAGATCAATAGTTGTAGCGGTGGTCAAAATGCAAAATTCGCTATTTTAGAGGGTGCGTTTAAGAATTTCAAACGGACTGTACCAGGGAAATTTGCCAGATGGTAAGCGATTGTGGGAGTGCACAAAGAACACCTGAACTCAACCCACCCAAATCTTCGTTAACCTTTTATCAAATCTTCTTTTTCTTTTCAATCCTTTCTGAAAAGTAATCAATGATATTACGCTTTGAAAAACTCTCTGATTTCTGTTGTGAGAACATTTCTGATAACGGAGAATTCCGGGTTTTTCTCTTTTTGCCCTCTTTCAATGAAAATGATTAAACTTCACTCTTCTTTTTCTTCTTTATTTCTTCTTTTTCTTCTTTTTCATTGTTTGCTTTGTTCCATTTGTGATTTTTATTGTTCGATATTCGAAATTCAAATCATATTTTCAAAATTTCAATATGATTTCTATCATTGCACCGCCAGCATATGACGATTTGGGTATGGTTTTTGTTGATGACATCATTCACTTTTTTCAATGTGACATCATTCACTTGAAGCTTTAGCTAGATTGAAACAATAAAGTTAAATATTTTCAGTTTTCATCAAAATCAACATCTTTTTTTGTTTTTCTGACTTTTTCTTTTAAGAAAACCCTATTCACAATCAGTTTTTGGCTTCAGAAAGTCTTCGAGAGTTTGCCGAAAGTTATACAATAAAAATGTAAATACAGTCAACTCCCCGTATAGTGTAACCCTCTAGTGCAAAGATTTTTTGGTCCCGGCCGAGCTTAATGTATTTCTTAACAAAATAACTCCCTCTATAGTGCAACCCTGTATAGTGCAATTCGCGCTATAGTGCACTAAATTTTTGGCCCCAACCGCAATTTGACTCTCCCTATAGTGCGATTGCAAAACAGTTGTACATTAAAAATGCAAATATTTCACAATCATTTGCATGAGTATAATCGGGAGTAGGACAAATGCGACCTTTTTCTGCGCACCCGGACATTTGCGCACCTTTTTTTCCGCACTTAGCCCATTAGCGCACCTTTTTTCGCGTTTTAAAAAGCTCTCAAAGCTAATATTAACCAATTTCTATTCCAAATGTTGTTTTTCTAGGTAATTTGACGTGTCAAATTCAAATTTTGACATAACAGAGCGTGTGGAACCAATTTGAAAGACAAAACGGCTAGATCAAATTACAGAAAGTTGTCAATTTTTCTCTTTGTATAATTCCGTTCGTTTATTTCCACAACCTCAGATATGTCAAAATTTTGATTCTACGCCCTAATATTACCTAGAAAAACAACTTTTGGAATAGAAATTGGTTAATATTAGCTTTTTAGAGCTTTTTTAAAACGCGAAAAAAGGTGCGCTAATGGGCAAGGTGCGGAAGAAAAGGTGCGCAAATGTCCGGGTGCCCAAAAAAGGTCGCATTTGTTCCACTCCCGTATATTCAGCAAATAGCACAAAAACACTTATTATATTTATTGATATTAAATTACAGTTTTCAAGCATTACATGTCTACTTTAGAAAGTGGGCCAAGTTGCTCAAATAACGACAGCTCTGCTCAATCCCAAATCAATCAAAACGATCAGCAACCACCGGATTATCAAGAGATTGCTGAGGTTAGAGTCAGCATCAATAGCTTGATTTTGGCTAAGAATAATCTCAGTTAAATAAAAATTTAGCTCTCCGTTGATGAATTACGAGTCGCTTATGAAAGGAGCGAGTATCAACTGGCGACATTGCGGCGAATTCACAATGAGGAGAGGAGAAGAGTCGAGCAGGATGTAAGTTTTTTTAATTTGAAACTAATAAATCTTAGCGTAAATACTGTAATAGTACCCCACCCCCATAATGACGGTGCGGAGCGTTGCGTAGTCTAGCTTTGGATGCGTTTTTCTCGACACTGGTTTATGCTACAATTCGCGCTTAGGTATCAAAAAAATAGCTGGAATTTAGGGCTATTTTTTGCTACCAAAGACGCATTTTTGAAAGTACGGGTGCTTTGCAAAAAATTAAATACTAAAAAACTTTTTCGATTACGCGGCTGTACGAGGGGGTGGGGTACTATTACAGTATTTACAGTAGGTACTTATTTTTCATTCTTGATTTGTCACAGAGAGGAAAAAGTGAAGCTGAAGTATGCTTTCAATGATTTTATTTGCAATATCCGGTACTTATGGTTACTTAGATTAATCAAATCTTTTTGATAATTAAAAACAACTTTTTATGGTATTCTCAGACCCAATTGCGCAATTTGTCGCAACGAAAATTTATTGGGTTGTCCAGTTATGAATGCGCGTTTTTACTATTTTGTAAATTTCTCAAGATATCGAACAGATGTATATGAGTGTTATATATCATTCGAAAGCTGAAGACCTCATCTACATTTTGGAATCAAAAAGTTTTTGAATTCACTCAACTTTTTGGGAAATTGACTGCACAAAGGGAGAGGTCGTTTTCGAAAAAACCCATTTCAGCTCAGCTATTCCTCAAGTTTTATGGTGTAAAAATAGCCGCCCAGAAAAGAAAAGAAAAGAAAAGATGCTCTGAAATTGTTATATTTTAAAAAAAGTTGTATTGATATATCTATTGGCCAAACATCAAACGGTTAGCTCAATTTGAGCGGAGCCAAAACTTGATCCAAAGGCATCCTTCCATTTTTTGGCCACCGCTTCTTTTGTGCAGTCAATTTGCCCAAAAGCTGAACAAATTCAGAAACTTTTTATATCAAAATGTAGAGGAGATCTTCAGCTTTCGAATAATACTCATATATATCTTTTTCTTGATTTCGGTATCTTGAGAAATTTACAAAATAGTAAAAAGCGCGCATTCATAACTGGATAACCCAATAATTTGGCGTAAAGCCGCCATTTACACAATTTAGTTCAATTAGCATTTCTTTACTAACCGTAAATACTGTACTTACTGTACTTACCGTACAGTATTTACGGTAAGTAAAGAAATGTTATGTAAGTTGCGAAAAAAGTACAGAGATTTTTTCAAAATTCAGTAGTAGAGTAGCCAAAATTCCACCTTACTAAAATTGGCTAGTTTTCAAATCATTTTGTAAGTTGAACGACTTGCAATTTAGGAAAGTATCACGATTTGCAAATTTGTCCGAATTTTGTTATTAACTGGCTAGATTTGAGCTCGAAAATTGTAATTTCAGGTGGAATTGGCTCGGCAACAATACATTAATGCCGTCTCGAGTGGAACCGATGACGATCTTTCTTTATCCGGATCCACAATCACAATTATTGAAGTAATGGATGCTGCTGAAAACTGACATAAGATTAGGTCACCAAGGGTAATACCTGATTATGTTAAGAAATGGAAATTTTCTCAGCTTACACTTCATCTTTCAGGCAACACCACATTCGCAGCGCTTAAGGAGGACTCATCCGTCTCATAGCGTTGGTGAGTAAGAGATTAGATTCGAAGAAAAACAAAATCTCTTTTCATTTTTTTTTTCTAATGCTTAAACATTGAAAAATTTAAACATCAATAGATTTTTGAGCAGAATATTAAAAAGAAATGTTGTAAGCTGAGGATTTAGTCTAGTACAGCGTTGTACACAGTGATCGGAATGGTTTAGAGTCAAAGGAATTTGTAGTTCTTAGATCCGACCTCAGATTCGGAACATTCTAATAAAAAAAGCTTTACTGTAGTTTTTTATATATATAAATACTTTATTTAGAAAGAAATAAAGTGCGAAAGCGGCAAATGTACCAGATAAAAGATCACAAAGTCACTCAAAATGCAAGAAGTAGCCCTATTAAAATCAAACGAGTTTAATCTCCTCTCTTTTTTTTATATTCAACTTTTTCCCTGCCTGATTGCGTTTTTTATTCGCCCCACATCCGCTATTTTCATCAATTCCATGACTTTTTTTCATGTTTCTAATGTAAAGTCAGGAGAGGAGATCAAAAAAGCGAGGAGATCAAACGCAACTTGTCGGGAAGGACATTCCAAACTTGAATCACACGATTTACAAAAAAAGAAGTAGTGACAAAGAAAAAGTTTTGACTACTGCAAAGTCAAGTTTCCCAAAGTAATAAATACCAACCAATATTTTACAGTTTCCCATCAACGAAAGATGAACGAATGGCAGAGAAAGGGATGTTGTGGGAGAACATTTCTCATTGTGAAAATCCCAATTTGTTTCATGTTAATTATTTTAATTATTGGTGGCTTTGTTGCTTTACTTATTGTTCTCATTGCTGATAAGGAAAAAGATGACGACTCTTTTATAAAAACAACTCTTTCAACTTGGCCTAGAAATTTCTTTGCAGAAAAATGATTATGTTTATTGATTAGTGTGCTGATAAATTGATTCAAATTTTAATAAAAATTATAAACAAGTGCAAGACACCATGGATAATCTTCTAAATAAATAGAATTTTGCCATAGAGATTTAATATTAAGTTTCAAAACTCTCATAGTTTAAGACAAATATTCCAGTTCTAGAGTTCTTTCCACGATATAAAGTTTCAGCTGTGCAACAAATGGTTTTTAGCAAAGTCCACTAATTATTCAAAGCAACAACAAGACAAGACAACAAGACAGACACTCAGTTTTAGCATTTTGCTTCACTTTGAAAAATTCATCACTGTCAAAGTACTAGATTGAGGAAAAATAATGAGCGTCTTGAATTTCGCATTAGGGAATTGAAATTGACTTCAACCCAACACTCACGACTCCCGAGCTTGCAGAAATGTTGATGTTGATGAGAAAACAATCGACAACAATCAACTTGAGAAAAAGTCCGCTGTTTTATTATTTATAATACACTAACAATTATAAATGAACTATCAAATTCGAATCGTCCACTATTAGCACTTGAGCCAACTCGCAGACGTTTCGTGAAGAACGGTGGCTACCAAATAGGCTGGATCGAGCTCTTCTCACGCTTTCAACAATGATTTCTTCAAGCTTTCAATCTTTTTGTAGGGCTTTGAACAAGCTTTGGCTTCTAGAAGTCGGTTCTAGAAGCCAAAGCTGGTTCAAATAAAAATTCACACTGAAAAATCCACTGGGTTAAGGTCTGGAGAGCTGGATGGCCACTCAGAAAAAGAAATGAAGTCCGGGAAGTTGTTTTGGCGGAGCTCTTGGGCTTTCTTGGATTTGTGGGCCGGTGCGTCATCTTGCTGATAAGTCTTGCGAAAATGTTCCAAAATGTTTACGAGCCCAGGGCAAGAGTTCATCCTTGAAAAGAGTCAGGTACCTTGTTACCACACGTGATACCTTGTTGCGACAATTATGGCGCACCCTATAATTCAAACAGTTGCCTACAAGATCAGAGAACTTTTGAGTGTCTCAAAAAATTGGATTGGCAGAACTGATAAGCTGATAGCTTGTTGCAAATCGATTCGAAAGGAATATTACCTCAATACCTAAAATATTGTTACTTAAAAGCTACTCAAAATCAGCTTTCACAAATGTTGAGGACAATGAATTGGATTTTTTGATGAGATAAAGCTAAAAGTTATGCTAATTTTTGACAATTTCAAACAAAAGCCTAAACTTTCATCATCTTTGATGTATCAAAAGCTTGCTTGTACTTCCTCTATTCTCCGCCTCATCTTTGATGTCATCGGCTAGACATTTTTTCTTCTCTTCACCCCTTTATGATCCCATCGATTCAGCCGGAATCTGATAAGGAAACTGTTTATTTTTAAAGCGATCGACCCATTTTAAAAAAGGCGTTCTTTGATAAACAGATTCTGGAAAGCAAAGATTTCAAATATTTTTCAATTTTGACAAATACCGATGAAAATGCTCGACGATTTACCTGCACCTCCTGCTTACCACGATTTAGGTGAGTTTTAAACTGATAAGTCACCTAATATTTTGAATTTGGAAAAGGTTTGGAAACAGTCTAGTTTGAAAGATAGAACCTGGTAAAAATATGGTTTAACTTTAAGCAACTCAACCTTTAATTGGTTTGAACTCTTGGTTTTTTTAAAGTCCTCAAATTCTTGTTATATTGGGTTGGTGAATTGAAAACTGCGGGGCTTTGAACTAAAATTTCTTCAACATAAAGCCATGAATTCATTCCAAATAATTTCTATTATTATTGACGACCTCTGCCCATTTTACAGGCAATTTGCGGTTCCTCTTTCGTAGTAGGATTTTGGTTTTTGTGTGAGACAAGTGTGAGACTCAAAAATCGAGGACTGGAGATGTCCAGTTTGAGCACTTTCTTCAAAAGAAACCCATTTTGGTGTCAATAGAAAAGTTGTAGAGAATCCAAAATTAGGCTTATAGCCAAATTTCCAAAAAGATACACTTAGTAGTTTCGCTTAAAATGCAAATTTTGTGAAAATTCGTAAATTTGGCATTTCTTGAAAACCAGTTTTTGAATCGTTCTGAAAATTTGGATATAAGCTTAATTTTTGATTCTCTACAACTTTTCTATTGACACCAAAATGGGTTTCTTTTGAAGAAAGTGCTCAAACTGTCACATATGACAATAGCCCGCAGTTTTCAATTCACCAACCCAATAACTGCTCACTTCACATTCCCAGCTTTTGGCCCTCACCAAATTTTCCGAACTCTTGGTTTTTCTAAAGTCCTCAAATTCTTGTTATAAATATAACTTCTTTGCAAGTTTACATTGTTAATGTTCAGAATTTTCAGATTTGGAGGCACAAACAAGCGGCGCCAATGAGACGAGATCGGAAACTGATCGACCGCCAGATTATCAACCAGCTGATGAGGTGAGTTTTGAAAAAGCTGCACCTCATTTTAATCAATTTCAATAAAATAAACAAATTTAACTTACCGAGCGCAAATTATTTGTCTACCAATCATATTTTGAATAAAAACCTTAATCAAAATGTTTTATTGACGTCTTTCTTGAATAAAAGCTTAGCTTTGAGGCCTTAAGGAATTTTGAAATCATTCACAAATTCTAAAACGCAGTAAAACCTGTCATAAGCTTGATTTAGTTGAGAAGCATTTGTTTTAAAGCTATTTTCAATGAAACTCGACCATTCCAGCAATCAATGTTAATTTCAGCAATCAATGGTACAAATGAGAGCCGATATCGAGCAGAAAGAGTTACAATTGGCCACTTTGGAACGACTTCAACTCGAGGAGAGATTGAAAATTCAACAAGAGGTGGGTTTTCAAAAACAAACCTTGCTTGAAAAAGCTCAAAAATCAGTCCCTATATAAGACTTCTTTAAGTCGAGAGGTGAGCTTCTGGTTTAGTGGATAAGAGTCTTGTTTCCGAAACAAGCTAGGGAGTTCTTGCGCGGGTTCGATCCCTTCCTTCTGTTTTCATTTTATTTTAATGCTTAACTGGTCGAATTCGCTCTATTATTAACTTTACAATAAGTACTAGGTTGGGGAAAAGGTTTTTGCCGATTTTTTTGGGAGAGGGTCTTAAATTTGTCCGATCTGGACGTGTAATAACTCATTTGAAAGCTAATTGTCTAGCGGATTGGATAAAAAATATATCAATTTATATCATCCAAATATATCATCAATCAATCGTTTTTTAATATATCAATTTTCAAAGTTTTTGCAGCTGTTTCACTGAGGCATCTGACCACAAATTTCAAAAAATCATTTTTTTCATTTTTTTGTACGGAACCCTAGACTGAAACCATGTTTTTCGAAATCAGCATTGAAAATTGCCCTAGAAAACGCAAAACTTGTTCTTTTAGCTAAAATTTTTCAAAAGACCTGCCGCGTGCCGGAGTCGAACCCTCGACCCTCAGATCAGAGCCATCCAGAGCGATCACCGCTTTCAGAGCTCTAAAACATTAACATTCAACAAACATTAACAAGACAATGAAACTAAACAAACAAATAATGTCTTAAAACAATTAAACAATATAAAGTAGTACAATACAAAACAAAAAATAAGAGGAAAAGAAACAAATTTTTGGTTTTTGAAAAATTTTAGCTAAAAGAACGAGTTTTGCGTTTTCTGGGGCAATTTTCAATGCTGATTTCGAAAAACATGGTTTCAGCCTAGGTTTCCGTACAAAAAAACAAAATAATTCATCTTTCGAATGAGCTATTACATGTTCAGATCGAACAACTCCCAAACAAGACTCTCTCCCAAAAAATCGGCCAAAAATTTTTTCCTTTAATAGGACATCTTTCAATTGATAACAAAGAAAATAACAAAAAAAATTAACACACTTGGAAGCAATCTATAAAGCGAATGAAAGATAATTTAACATTACATCTTGCACAACACAAAAAGCTTTTTTAAAATAGAATTTTCAGTTAGAATTAATGCGACAACGATATTGTACGCTTCGTGGTGGTGGAAGGAGGGATTCTTTGCCTATTTTGGTTCGTTAATTCTGTGCAAATCGTTTAAATCTTTCGAATTTACAAATAAATATTCATAAACGTATTCTATTTCAGTTATCGAATCGATTCTCTTTACAAATGCATCATCGAATTTCTCCAAGTGGATATGGAAGAGGTGAGGGAATGGGTATTCTAAATGTTATTGTCGTTTCTTCTAAAATAATAGTGTCTAACATTAATTGTTTTCTAAAAGTTGCGTTTAATATTGACTTTGCAAATGAAGGCAAAAAAAGCCACTTTGATTGCTGCCGTAGCCACCGTATTTTTACCGGAAAATTCCAACTAGGGAAATTCCATACATAGGAAAATTCCAACTCGAACCTAATTCCACCTTCGTTTTCTCGCCCCTTCCTTGACCAATTGCCCTGAAATTTTGTCTACAAGTTGAAAATGTCGATTTCTATCTGTAGACAAAATTCCAGAGTAGTCGGTCAAGAAAACGAAGGCCGAACTAGGTTCAGATCATGAGTAGGGCCTAGACATAGGAAAATTCCAACTCGAACCTAATTCCACCTTCGTTTTCTCGGCCCTTCCTTGAGCAATTGCCCTGAAATTTTGTCTACAAGTTGAAAATGTTGATTTCTATCTGTAGAAAAAATTCCAGAGTAATCGGTCAAGAAACAGCCGAGAAAACGAGGGTGGAATTAGGTTTGGGTTGGAATTTTTTCATATTTAGTAAGAACTAGTTCAAGTCTTCTCAAGTTGCGTAAAATTTCACAATTTCAGCATGTTGATAGAGAGGCTGTGATTAAGCTAATGGCTACTGTATTACTGCTTTGGAACTATCGTACTCTGTTTTTCAAAAGAAAACCCTCTAATAGCACACTTTAATAGAGAAATATGGAGATTATTCTTTTTCTACTCAAATTTTCATTTCAGGACGTCATCCATCGATCTCTATCCGACAATATCGTGCCCTTCAACGAACGAATTGTCGCTTGAGAATTTCATTGATAGTTCTTTATGGAATCGTTTGTATTGGTTTCGTTTTATGGATTATACTTGGTAGAAAAAATACTAGTGAATGAATTGTTTATTCAAAAAGTCGATTAATTAATAAAAAGAAAGAAAACAACAAACAAAACTTGAGTCAATTTGAGCAGAAAAACAGTTTTGTTAAAGTTTTAGAGAAAAAACGTTTGGCAAAACATTTGACTTATTTGAGATAGTAAATTTGTCAAAAACAATGAGTTCTCATAATTTCTAAAAAGCTTTTTTGGCTTGTCAAAGTGAGAAAAAGAGATATTTTTGATAACAATAGGAACAAATAAAAATAAATGGGGAAGGGTTGAAGATTGAAAGCTAAAGAAAAAGGTTAATTACCGTATTCTCTCTGATAGTAGTGCACCCTGAGCGTTGCCTAAATTACTCGGAATCTCGAGAACCGCTTATCAGAACCTATTGATGTGGGGTCGGAAAATGTAGCTGATGATGTGATCTAGTGGGGGATTAGAACGTTGAGCCTCAGCAAAAGCTTGGAAACCGTAAGATAGTCACCAACTCGGCTTGGCTGGGTTCACTACTTTTAGAGAGAATACGGTAGTCTAGAAGATGGATGCAATTCTGACTAACGAGAACCAAAGAATTTGACTAGCAAATGTCAACGTTGAACTGAGAAAAACGAGCCGAAAATAACTTTTTCAAAAATCCATGACTGGAGATCCGGTTTTATCAGTTTTTTTGCCTTTACTTCCTGGCTCTCACCGTTTCTCTTGATTCCCCTTTCTTTGCAGAAAAACTTATTTTATTTTATCACTTTTCTATTAAAAGATTGGCCAGAGCAGTTATTGAGAAAATTTGATTTGTAATAACTAGATTCTTGTCAAGTAATAGCTAGATTCTTGAAAAACCTCTATAGCTAAAGCTTTTTCTTCTATAAATTAACATAAAACAACTAATTTGAGTTAACCCTTATTATTTAATCTAAACTATAATATGCCCTTTACAATTCACAGCTAAACTTTCAGGGTTTCTCAATATAGAAACTCGTACTTACGAAGTAAAGGAAAAGATCTAATCTCTGAGTCGGACCAATCTTTCCAATCTCACATACAGTACTGGACAATGAAATATCATATTTGAAAAACGATTGTCACTTTCGCGCGTCTGTAACTCCCTTGTCTTTGAGTTTAAACTATTAGTGTTATACATTTTCTGAAAGCTCTTTTCAAGGGCTACACAATGGTAATATTTATATTTAGAAATACGGTAAAGATAAGGAAGTTACAGACGCGCGAAAGTGACGATCGTTTTTCAAATATGATATTTCATTGTCCAGTAGTGTAGGAACTTGTTTTTCGTTCTTGATTTGTCACAGAGAGGAAAAAGTAAAGCTGAAGCATGATTTCAATGATTTTATTTGCAATATACGATATTTATGGTTACTTAGATTAATCAAATCTTTTTGATAATTAAAAACAACTTTAAGAAGAACTTTATGGTATTCTCAGACCCAGTTGCGCAATTTGTCGCAACAAAAGTTTGGCGTAAAGTAGCCATTTACACAATTTAGTTCAATTAAAAAATAAAATCGAGCTATCAAAACAAAAAGAATTAACAAAAAAGAACCTTACAGTGTTCTCAAGAAGAAGAATCTTAAGAAGATCTCAAGAACAATCAAAAATATGTTTTTTTCATTTTTAATTCTGAAGTTCGGAAGCCTTTTGGGTAACATATAAAGAAACTAAGAATTTCTCATCGTCTATGCTTTGATTTTTCACCAGACAATAGTAGCAATCCACTGTTTCAGTGATTTTTCGTCGATACAGAAACTTTTCTACCGAAGAATTGATTCGTTGAGGGGAAATTTGAAAAAAGAATCTGTTTCTGGGTTGTTGAATCGATTCAAAATCAATCGATTCAACTCTTTGCTCAAAGAAAATTTCTTGAAACGCTTGAAAATCCGAATTTTCAGCTTTGCAACTAATCGAGCATTGGCTAGCGCTATTCGGGTTTCCATTTTCAAGACTCCACCGAAGAAAGCCTTTGAAACTTTCAATTGACACTGAAACCCATCGAATTTTCTTGAAAAATGTCTTTTTGAGTAAATTCAATAATATTTCTGAGCAATCTGTTTCAAAAAACAAATCCTCACAATTTCTCAGTGTTGCTGCATTGAAAAATCTCTCAGTTGATTCAAGTTTTGCATTATATTGAGGCATTTGAATCCATGCTTTTTTCCGAACCTCGAAATCGAATCTCTCAAAAATTCTTGTGAAAATCTGCAAACTGACGCCAATTCTCAATTGAAATACGTCAAACACTTTCAAGTTTGAGAAAAATTTGCAAAAACGATTCGCATCGTCGACACTTTTCGAAATAACCGCATTTCTATCAGTGGTCATGAAGAATTCCTTGCAAAAGACGATTTTCTCGTAGATTGATTTTCCTTTGATTAAATTGATGTGAATTGTGAAATCCCCTTTCTGAATCGAGATCCCAACTCGTCTCATCGTAAAGCCAGCACCACAAATTACATGAAAATTGATCTTTTCCAAACTTTTTCCCAGAGCTCCATTGTTGAGTGTCCAATTTCTGAAGAATTTATTAACATTTAATAACTTCATCCTGTCAATTGGATCCAGTTTCTCCAGAATCGATTGTCGGAGTTCTGTTGGAACTAAAGCAAAAGAAAGAACAGGAGAATGAAAGAAATTTTCCATTAGTATTTGAATCGATATTTGATGTTCAAGTGATAGAAAAGTTTTTAAACTAGTCTTTTAGATTTAGAGTTAGATTTAGAGTTAGATTTAGATTTAGGATTAGATTTAGAATTAGATTTAGAATTAGAATTAGATTCAATTCTTTTATCTTTTATAATCTTTTTGAATTAGATTCTTTTATCTAAAGCAGATTTTAGTCAGCTAATTGGCTTCAATCAGGCAATTTGAGTCAAAAAGTTTCCCATTCAGCTACAGGCAACTCCTCTTTCGATTCAAGAATTCAAAATTCAAGAATCGAAAGACAGAAATACTTGACAGAATCCTCAAAAGCTTCACTAAACTTGAGAAATTTGACCTTATTTTGTTCAAAACACACATTTCATTTCAAATCTAAAGAGAAAATCAAAAGATTTGACAGTAATCTTTTCTCCAAACTCACAAAAAGTTCAATCAATCAAATCAACAATTTTGCAAATTGAAAAGACTCTTTTATCTTTTATAATCTTTTAGAATTAGATTCTTTTATCTAAAGAAGATTTTAGTCAGCTAGGTATTGCATTTTCTTTTCTCCTTTCTTCATAAAACTTAAAATGAGATTATTTTTCTTTAGAATAAAGAATAGAGAAATTTTCTGCTGCAAGAATACCATTCACTTTTGCGAAATACAACGCTCGTACTTTGGTCTTTGGTCTTATCTAGCAATAATACAATAAAAACTATCGTAATTCTGGCGTTAGCTTTTATTCAAATCAATAGGGAACACTATAGGCAAAATCACGTTTTAAGCTATGACATATACAGGGTGCGTCATAATTATTGCAACAAGATACTCAAGGCATTGCACACCAAGAAGTTTCACTGGAAGAAGATTTTTAAACAGAAATAGCTTTATTTAACAGTAACAAATAAGGAAACAAGAGATCATTCGATATGACCGCCTTTTGCCTTGATAACAGCCCTTAATCGGTTCGGATATGCCTCCACTGCGGCCCGAATGTCATCTTGAGGAGTCGCCTTCCATCCTTTGGTCAAAGACTTCTTCAAAGAATCTAAACTTGTGTGTTTTCCTCTAAGATTGCCCAAATGGAAAAGTCCATCACATTGAGATCCGGTGAGTTTGGAGGCCATTCATCCTTGGTGATCACTGAGGGAAAGTTGGCCACACACCAGTCCTGAACCGTCTTCTTCGTGTGAGCGGGAGCTCCATCTTGCATGAAGGTCCAATTTTGATTGTTATTGGCTTTACACGCCCATGACATCACATTCTTGACATCACAAACGGTCTTTGAACTCTTGTTGCAATAATTATGACGCACCCTGTAAATTAAATTAGGCTATCCAGAAAGTCTTTTCGTTCCCTTTCGTACTTCCGCTTAAAACCAACAAATGCACCAATTGAATTACGGTTTTTCCCTCAGAAAGACCGATTATTTTTCTAGAAAATAACATTGAAATGGGTTTAAAATGTGTTATGTTTGAATTTTTTTAGAGGTGAGAAAGTAGTCAAAAAGGGTGACGGTTTATCAAGCAATACGCAAACCTGTGCCTCATCGATTAACTGTTTTAAGATGAATTAAGCTTACATGTGTACAGATTTTCGTTTTAACATCATTTGCTTAATCATTTTTTTAAAATAATTGCAATCTTACATAAAGCATTACTTCTAATGACAATGAGTCTAGATTTAGCAAAAAAAAAGACCAAATCGCTTGTAGCTTGTTGATGATCCGTTTTGACTCTACAATAACCATGAAGTAGTTAAAAGAGTACTGTAAAAGAGTATATTGAATAATTTGTACAGACTTGTACTTTGTACAGTGTCAAAGGTGTCAAAATTTCAGTGTTAAAGGCTAATGGCATCCATATTTTACTCAAAATTAGCTTCAGTGACTCAAATCTAACTGATGCTTTCATAACTTAATCATTTTTCGTAAATATTAGTTGCTTACTTTAGGCATTGGATCAAATTCTTTCTTAATAAAACTTAAAATAAGATTATTTTTCTATTTTCAAGGCATTTTGATGAGCAATGGGTAAACATTTCCCTTATCTGGAGTATTAAAAAGCGCCTCACTTTTGACAATCCGAGAGGGTTTTTATTTGCAATTTCTGGTGTGTAATTTCCACATAGCTTTTACTTAACGAAATGTAGTCTTACAACAGCTTCGATCTAATCTCCATGCATTAATTATGCGAAAATCTATAATATGCTTTCTTCTTTAGAGCGTCGCTCGTACATTTTAAAAGCTATGATTATTTACCGTAATTATTCTAATTAAAGAGAAGTACACACCCCCGTACAGTCGCGTAGTCTATCGACGTTTTACAAAGCCATTTTTTTTCTCACTTATGTTTTTGATACCAAAAATACTAGATTAGAAATGCTATCGTTTGAGACTCAAGCGCACATTGTAGCATAAATCAACGCAGAGAACGGAGCGTGTAAAGTTAGACTACGCGGCAATACCCCAATGATTAAGGGAGCCTCTACTGGATTAATGGATCCTTTTAGCAAAATGCCGATGCCGGTTTGGTTGTGGAAGCCGAATCGCGAGGTCGCTCGAGAGCCACAACAGAGCGACAAGGAGTATCGTGGATGCTGCAATTCGTGTAAAACTGAGGTAAGCCTGGTTTTTTTTGTTTGGCTTAGCTAATAGGTTGATGCATAAGTCTTTTTGTTCCTTTTCGTCTGCCGTTTCAAGCCAACAAATGCACCAATTAAACTACGGTTGATTTCATTAGAAAAACCAATTATTTTTCTGCAAAATAACATTAAAACGGGTTTAAAAATATTTAATGCCTGGATTTTCTTGAGAGTATGAAGTCGGGTAGTCAAAAAGGGCTAACTCGATGATGCGGTTTAGACACCTTAGCTAAAGAAAACCTATCTTCGTGTCAATAGATAAAAGATAGAGAAAAAAAAGTTTGATATTTCGCCAAAATTTCAGAGAAATTCATTCAGCCAATTTTTCCGTAGAGTTTTTATAGATTTTTACGAAAAAGGCGTTTTTCACTCTCGAATTTGCTTGAAAGTGAACCGAAATTGATTTAAAAAGATGGAAATTGAACAAAAAAACACTTTTTTATAGAGCAAACTATAGATTAATTGGTGAATTTGTTACTTTTTAACAGAAGTACGAAAAAAACGAAAAGACTTATGCATCAACCTAATATATTTGGTAAAATAAGCCTCATATAATCTGAACACAAGAAGATCTTGAGGATCTTGAGGAACGTGGAGGATCCTGTCAGCTTTTAGACTTGCTTCAAAGTGATTCTCGGATTGCATTGTTTTCAACTTATCGGGATGGCCGCGTCGATCGCACAATCGCCCTTGGTTGGTGGGGTAAGTTTTCCATTCTTTGAACTTCGAAGATCTACTATATATAAAAGAGCAATTTCTGTTCGTCCGTTTCTGTTCGTCCGCTTTTTCTCAGCCATCTTTGGGCCAAAAAAAACTGAAATTTTACAAAAAGTCTTAATATATAATATGGCTGTATTATTTAAAATAAAAAATTTAAAAAAGCCAAAATTGAGTGGCATTATGGGGGGTCGAACCCGGGTCATGTGGGCCGTAGTCAAGCGCGCCACAGCGACGAGAGATGCAGCCAGAAAACCCCACCGTTAGGGGGGTCTTTCGGCTGGTTAGATTTTAAAATGTTTTGAAATTCAGCTCAGTTTCCTTACCACTCTCCTCGGCATCATGCTCGGTTTCATGGCGCTTCGAACAAAGAAACCTTTCTACATGCAACTCCTCTGGGTTTTAGAGGTAATTAATTAAAAAATGCATTTATTCACACGAATAATGTGGTACAAACAATATCCAAGCACAACCTGTAAGTCCTAAGTGTAGAGAAGAAAAAAAAACCCCATATACAGTGGTCCACAAAATTAATGCCCCATTGCCATCCAAAATTGCCGTCCAAAATCATCCAAAACTTGTTAAAAAGTTTGAAGATATTTATATATTTTTTTTAAAGACTAAGTATTATAGTTTTTTTAATATATAGATTTTTGATTGAGATCTTTCCAATCAAAAGTACGATGTGGAAGAGTGCATTTACCCCTAAAATTAGCTCCACAAAAGTAATGCCCCATTCATGTTTTCTTTGATTATTCTCTTTATTTTTGCGTTCTATGAACCTCCTTAAGCTAAGGATAACGACCCTAAACATAAGTCAAGGATGATGATGATGGGACGAGTGGTGAGTCTTTGAAATGGTACACGAGCACGACTTCCGGGCTGGCTTGCGGCAAGTCGAGTCAAATTGATTGATTCGCCTCCCTACTCACCGGATATGAACGTTATCAAGCATATATAACCATTTGTGAAGTTGTGGCTCAAGGGAAAGAAATTCGGTTGGAAGGCCGCCTTATTGGTTCACATCCAACGTCTCTGGGCCTCCATCCCCAAACTCTTTTGAAGAATCTCGTGGATTCCTTGCCGGATCGACTCAATGAAGTGATAAAAGCAAAAGGAGGACCAACCAAGAATTGATTCTAAAAGATTTTGTTAACTCTTTGCAAATGAGGCATTACTTTTTTGGACCACTGCATATGGGAAAAAAGAATCAATAATCTACCCGACGGGATTGAACCCTTGACTTCTCGACTAAGATACAGGGCTCTTAGCCAGTCACCCATGGCGGCGAGGCTGATTAACCCAATTCGTGATAAGTTGTTTTTAAAAAGATCAAGAATTGAAAAATGCCGCCTTTGACGGAGTCTTAATCATAAAAACCTTAAAACCTCAAATTCCTTTGTCTTCAGGTTACCTCCACAATTTCCTCGACAATCATCTTGGTTTCGAACGAGATTTTGTTCATAATAGCTTACAGGTTTAAAAATTTATTGGAATTGAAGAAAGCAAACTTTCAGTCAAATGGAGGATACACGTAAAGAGGAAAAGCAGCAATTGCTAGCGACGTTGATTGGTGAGTTTCATGGATTTGGTTCTATTCGGTTCTAAAACACACGAAACTAATATAATCTTTGGGCAAATCTTGGGAAAATAAGCCTAAAAAACTTTTGTTCATTAAGTGCTTAAAAAAGGCAATTAAAAATTCTACAGATTTTTTTTGTTTTAGCTTGCACGTGTATCGTTTTGATCGGGATTCCGATAATGTTTTGGATTCTACGCTCAATCTATACGTATTACTGCTATCTCAGGTACGGATTAGCTATAGTTATAGCTCTTCAAATTGTTATCAAATAAGTTTTGACTTTTCTTGGAAAATTACTTGTGTATGTCTAGAGACCGTCAAATTTGGATTGAACAACGATGGAGTCCAGTGAATGACGAGGTTGAATAGATTGTCTTCAGAAATCGCATTATTTTTGTTATCTGTTTGCCCATTTTTGTTCTAATCTGCTAATATAATATCTAATCAATCTAATAAATGATTAAAAGAAGTTATCGAGATTGCAAATTGTCCAATAACAGTTTTATTTGCTTAGCCTAAGCTCAAGCTGCCTTGAGAGGCTTCATCCGAACTTAAAAGCTTGTTATCCAGTTCTGAAGCCAAGTTTAGACAAGAGCTAAGCTGAAGAAAATGAAAGACAGTGAATCATGATGGTTCTTTTTTGAATTTTTATGCTTGGCCGGGTTGAATAACAGATGATTGTCGTTGTTGCGGTTTAACAAAATTATAATCTCCTCCAATTCGTGATGTGAATCGTTTTTTGAGACGCTGAAAATGAAATTGTTTAATCAAATTGTTGTTTATGTCTTATTCTTTGTCTATTTACTTACCTGATAAAGTTTAAAGATCTTTATATTATTTTGTCACAAAAATAACGATAAAACAATTCCCGTAAGAATGCAAAGTGGTTATCCATTAGCGAAAATTTTTCCTAGATTGAAATCATCAAAATAGGCGTTTTAAATACCTACCGTAAATACTGTAATAGTACCCCATTCCCATAATGACGGTGCGGAGTGCTGCGTCGTCTAGCTTTGAACTAGTTTTTCTCGACACTGGTTTATGCTACAATGCGCGCTTAGGTATCAAAAATAGCCCTGAATTTCAGCTATTTTTTGCTACCAAAGACGCATTTCTTGAAAGTACGGGCGCTTTGAAATGAATGAAATACTAAAAAACTTTTGCGACTACGCGATTGTACGAGGGGAGTGGGGGTACTATCACAGTATTTACGGTACTTGTTTGAGAATTTTGAACAGATGGTTAAAAAAACTAATATAATCCAAGGTAGAAAACCGATCGTTGCCAATAAAGAATTTAATGACATTTTTTAGTCGAAGTGACCGAAGGTCGGTTGGTCAAACCCGAGACGGACCGGCAACATACTATAGATGAAGTTGATCCTGAGTAATGTACATCACAAAACAATTATTTACTTACAAAAGGCGCTCTACAAAAGGATGATTTTCTCAAAAACCAAAAGATTTGACAGCTTTTTCGTTTAGACATAGAAGTTAGTTATAAGCTAACAAACTGATTTACTAATAGTAAGGGAAATAGAAAGGGTAATTGTTGGGAATTAAAAGTTGATGTGATCATTTTCCTGCTATTTCCACAATCTAGCAATAAGCTACGTACAATAGCTAGAAGATTAATAACAAAAAACGTATATTAGGCTCTGGAATTAGATTAGAATACTAATACTAATTAGGGTACTGAAAAAGGAGTAGTAAGAATCGCCGGAAATACCTTAAAATGTTATTTTTTTAGTCGCAAAAGTTTTTTAGTATTTCATTCATTTCAAAGCGCCCGTACTTTCAAGAAATGCGTCTTTGGTAGCAAAAGTATTGGGTTGGGGAGAATGAGTCGGCGCCAAACTTTAAAGGGACTTTTTTGCACACATAAAGCCTTCTTTAAACATATTTTTGGTTTCATCAAAAGGATCCACTATTTCTCTACAAAATGACTTTTGAGAGATTCCACAAAGCTTTTCTTTCGTGGAGTTTATGAACTTCCAAACGCAGCTGGTTAAAATGGCAAAGAGTCCGACTCATTGCTTGAACAGTTTCTTCCACATAAACCTCCTTTGGTGTTTATATAAAAAAGATAGAGCACATTCAATTACTTAAGTTGCCAAATTTGCAGGAAGATCCCACCAATGGTTTTTTTCTAGATCACAGTTTGTAGTTTTTGTGAAAAAATGGCTTTTTCTTGAGCGGAGGCGCTGTTTGAATTTTCTTTTAAATGTGATTTTGTAGAGAATTAGTTAACCATTCTACTGATATCAAACGCATATTATTTGACGAATTCTGCTAGAAGTTTTAGACATTTTTTTGATTTTCGGCGCAGACTCATTCTCCCCAACCCAATAACAATTTTTAATCACTTTAACAACCCTAACCGAGCCATACAAACAAAGCTATGTGGCACGATGCTGAAAAACAGTTAAATTCGAGTCTCTAAAAACCGTCTTTTTCCATCTTTTCTCTATTAATACGTTTTTAAAGTTAATTACTATAGAATTAAAGTTAAATTACTGCTTTTTGAGCTTCATTATTGAATCCGAAGCTATCTGAGCTTAAAAATGGTCACATTTTTGAGAAATTTCTTTTTTTTCGACAGCAGTTTTATTCCTTTAAACCTTTAAAGTCTTATATGAAATCAATGAAATATTAAATTTACACAAACTCATAAATCTAGTGAAAAAATGTTCGTAGATTTTAAATATCTAAACGAAAAAACTGTCAACTCATTTGGTTTTTGAGAAAATCATCCTTTTAGAGCTCAACGCTATCTATGCCGCATCCTGTAATGACAAGCATTTAGCCATTTTGGTATTTGAGTCATTTTGTAGAGAAGTAGTGGATCCTTTTGATGAAACCAAACGTATAAAAAAACACACAATTTTATGGCACTGCGGCCGTTCTCACCCCTATTTACCCCTATTACCCAAATGTTGTGAAAGAAAAAACCCACTTGGTGGGAAAAAGAAACATTTTTATCTTGCCAGAGTGATTGAACCCTCGACCTTCCGCTTAAGAGACAAGACTCCTAACCGGTCGGCCATCTGGCCAACCGTATGTTTAAAGAAGGCTTTATGTGTGCAAAAAAGTCCCTTTAAAGTTTGGCGCCGACTCATTCTCCCCAACCCAATACATTTCTTCGATTCTATGTAAAATTACGGGCAGATTTTATCATCACAAAACAAATATTTACTTACAAAAGGCGCTCTACAAAAGGATAATTTTCTCAAAAACCGAAAGAGTTAAGTAGATATTTCAAATCTACGAACATTTTTACACTAGATTTATAAGTTTTGTGTAAAAAATTAAAACTTCATTCGTTTCAGATAAGACTTTAAACGAATTGCTGCGAAAAAATGAAATTTCTCAAAAATGTGGCCATTTTTTTAGCCAAGATAAGCTCGGATTTGCAATAATTGAGCTTAAAAGGTACTACTTTTATAGTAATTATCTTTAAAAACGTATTAATGGAGGAAAAGATGGAACAAGACGGCTTTTAGAGAAGCCAAACTCGATTTAACCGTTTTTCAGCATCGTACCGCATAGCATTTTTTGTATTGCTTGGTTAGGGTTGGCAAAGTTCATTAAAAAATGTTACTGTTCTTCTATTTTATGTAAAATTACGCGTAGATTTTATGATTAATTGTTGTTTTTCAGCTTAGGTTAATGTATTATCTTAGAAAGTCAAAAAAGATGCATTAAACGCAACACTATAAATGCCGCACCTTGTACAGTAGCTATACGACTAACTATTGTGACCATTTTTAAGCCCAGATAGTCTCGAATTCAGCTCGATGCTTAAAAAGCACTGATTTAACTTGAATTCTATAGTAATTAACTTTAAAAACGTATTAATAGAGAAAAAGATAAAAGAAGACGATTTCTAGAGACCCCAAGCTCGAATTTAACTGTTTTTCAGCATCTTGCCACATAGCTTTTTTTGTACTGCTTGGTTAGGGTTGTTAAAGTCATTTAAAATGTTACGATTCTTTTATTCTATGTAAAATTCCGCGTAGATTTTATGATTAATTGTTGTTTTTTAGCTTAGGTTAATATATTGTCTTAGAAAGTCAAAAAGATGCATTAAGCGCGACACTATACAATGCCGGACAAAAGTTTAAAAACATGACGTCAAGCTATGGAAATAGCTTAATATCTTTTAGAAGGCAAAGAATTTCATTTAGGTCTTCAAAAGCATTTTTGTTTGTCTCAATTTCAGGAATTAACCGCATTTTATAACAGATCACAAATCTAAATACAAAAAAAGTCTTTGAGACTTTACAGGAAAGAGCCGGTATTCTAGCCGGACAAAAGTTTAAGAACAAGTACTGTTTAATAAAGTTTATTAAAAAAATAACGGTTAAAGCAACAAAAGTGATTAACAAGTTTAATACTTAGTCGGAGCACCATTAGCTTTGATCACTGACCACGATCAACTTTCGATACTTTCGATCAATTTCTCAATGACTTTTTGGGATCTTGTTCCATTCTTGTTGAATAGCCTCAAAAAGAAGATCGCCGGTGGCAAATTTTTTACCTTTTAGTCCACTCTCAACTTGACTCTACATGTTTTCAATCGGATTAAGATTTGGCGATTGAGCAGGCCTCTCTAAAAGACCAACATGATTATCGGCAAACCATTTCTTGATGCTCCTTGCTGTGTGTTTGGGGTTGTTGTCTTGCATAAACACCCATTCTCGAGTCATGTTTTGGGCTGCATGTGGAAGCATGACTCTCCATGAGCATGAGGTTAATGTATTGTCTTAGAAAGTCAAAAAGATGCATTAAGCGCAACACTATATATGCCGCACTCTGTATACTTCACAACCAACATCCCTTTCTATCTTTTTTGATCTCGAAAATGTCAATGCTGGCAATTTAACGTCACCAGATAAATCTGTGTTGCTCGCTTCGCAGAGCTATACTAAGGTGAACCAAGAATATTCTGATTTTATCTAAAACTAACATTTACTTAACTATAAGATACTCAATATACAAGTACCTTAAAATGAGATAAAACAGCGCTGCATTGCTTTGCACAATCCCTGGCAAAATGTGCGTTTTTGTGTTCAAAGCCTTTCTATCTGTAAAGCAATTCAGTTTGCCCTTGATCTCGTGGCTCAGCTCAAAAACGTGGCAACCGCGTTTCGTTTTTCATTCAAGTGGGTATTTATTGCCAATCTTTCCTTCGACTTCGACTTTTCGATCCATTTTTCAGCGCTCATTTCTATTTCAATCTTTGTAAAAAGATGCGGCATTCAAGTTTTTTTCCTCAATCAATTTCATTTCGAATCTCATTGCCATTTTTGCCATGAGATGTTCGATAATATTTATCTTTTTTCTATTTCAACTTGGAAAATGTAAGAAAAGGCTGCAAGCTTGGCAATTGAGTGGATTTAGTGAGTTTTGCTTTCAATTTTAGTATGAGTAACATTCAGAAGTCAAGTATCTACCCACATTGGTCGGCCAGATCCCAGCTTTGGTTTGTGAAATTGAAAACATTTTTAGAAAATTTTTTACTAACTATGAGATTTTTTTGTTGTAAATTGGTCAAAGTTTACATTTGAACTTGTTTTTTTTATTGCTCTCAAAATTTAGTGCTCTCCATCATGATTTAAATAGTTCTAGGTCATTTGGATACTTCTAAGAGTCACATTGAATTATATTTAAGGCTTAAAACATTCATTTGTTAGATCAGAACATATCAAAAACCCGGCATTTGCTAAAATTGGTTAATACAGGAATTAGTAGCGACAAATTTTTGGAAAAATCACTGGGAAATGGCTAATTTCTTTCAAAAGTGGCAAGCGCTATATAGCGAATTGTAGCCCTAATTTTCGGCAAAAATTTATCTACCAAAAGCTTTGCGATCAGACTTATAGAACTCATTTAACTAGTGCTTGAATGAGCGCTACTCGACATCTCCCCGAATCTGTCATTTAGCCGCTTTTCTCTATTAAAAATTGTTAAAAGAAGCTTTTCAAAATTTCTTCAATGCAAAGATATCGTTTAACATCACTTAATAATATTAAAAATTGCACTTAACTATTTTGGCTGAACTGGCATAACCGAAATTTCGGTTGATGTCGACTAGCGCTCATTCAAGCGCTTTCTAAATGAGTTGTATAAGTCCAATCGGGATGTTTTTGGTAGATAAATGTTGCCGAGAATTACGGCTATAATTCTCTAAATAACACTTGAAATTTTTGAAATAAATTTGACATTTCCCAGATACTTTTCCAAAAAGTTGGTGCTACAATTCGCGGTCATACAAATTTGCTAAAATCCGGCAGCTTTCGATCAGCAAATTTCGGGATTCTGGTTTTCTTGGTTGTTTTTTAAAGCATTATACATGCATACGTTTTCCAGGAAAACACTCGTTTCGGTCTGCAATATTGTCAAATTCCAAAAACCGGCTCAACGATCACGCACACGATTTTATGTGACGTTTTTCGTGAGTATAGAGGCGTTTCTTTTAAACGAGTCTTTTCGATGAATCAAACCGGAGAAAAGTGAGAAAATACCAAAATATTAGCTCAATTCAATCTAGTGAATGTGCCAAGAATCTCTGGTTTCCCGGTCATCGACGGGCTTTTTGGCGAAAGCCGCGATATCCAATCAAATTCACTCTCATTCGAGACCCGGTTGATCGTTTGATTTCTTTGTATGGACACTTTTGCGAGTGAGTTTTAAGAATATATTTCTATGTAAGCTTAGCTTAAATTCTAACGCTTGTTTAGGGTCAATGCACATGCTATGGCAAGCATTTTTAAACAGTCGGCTGTTTCTTATCATTGTTGCGAGCTCGAAATTCCATAGAAGTTTTATATAAAAGCCCTATACATCTACAGATTCGTCTGGAACCCATAATGAAAAGCGGGATCATAAAAAAACCCATTTTCTGTTCAAAACCGACAAAACGTCATCCAGAGAAAACGATTGAACAGATTGATTTGAAAATTTGAGTGTAGACATAATTAAACATTCTCTACGTGTTTTATTTGAACACCAAGGTAGGTTTGTTGGATGGAAATCTTTAAATCATCAACTCTCCATCAGCCCATTTTTGACTACTTAAGTTAGATCATTTGAAAAAGTGTGAAAACAAAAGCTTTCCGGTCTGGATCTGGCTTAAAAAGGCGTTTTGTAAAGAAAAGGTTTCAGGTGCATTGACTCTATAGTTTTCCAGGAATCTGAGAAAGTGTGGCTTTTTTACTTTTTTTCTTGGCTTTCTTACTTTTGAAGCCCCTTGAGTTTACGAAAAGCGCCTCATGAAAGAACACTGACATTTCAGGTCCATTGACTCTAGAATTTTTCAGGAATCTGAGAAAGTGTGGTGATCGCAATATTCACCAGTTTACCGCCTGGCTTTATCAGCTTTTCCGACACAGGAATAGGGATCTCTTGCAAGGACAAGACTTCCGACTTCTCTACTATCATGCTATTCCACAATCCGGGTACAGCTTTTTCTTATCGAAATCCAATTTTAAACAATAAGGTTTTGTCTTGACTTCATCGGAGAATTAAAGCCTTAAAATCTGACTTGTGATCTTGATATCAGAAAAATTAGATTGGTTGAAAAATAAGATTGAAAATAAGATTGAAAAATAAGATCTAATTGAAAGATAAAATTGAAAACAAGATTTCAGATTCTGTAATCTTGATGAACAGCGACAAAACTTTTACATTATTCGCTATTCAAATGATCGAAAAGACATGTATCGACAGTTTCGTCGTCTTTTCAGAAGGGCTCGAATACCGAAGCATGTCGCTAAAAGGGTGAGTTACTGAGAAGGAACCGGTTGGAGCTCGCAGTGGAATCTCAATATGCGGTATAGAACATCTTGTAGAGCTTGGAAAGACGAGTCGAATGATGTAAAAATTGCTTATGAGCATGGTAAACGCAACTATGTAGCAAAAACTTGTAAGCCATTTTTAGTGCTTACAAAGCTCATAAGCAATTTTTACATGATTGGATTCATCTTTTCAAGCTCTACGAGATGTGCCGCATATCGAGATTCCCACGCGAGCTCCAGCCGGCTCTTTGTGAGAATTTGTCATATTTTCGACAATTCTCTTAAAGCAAATCAATAAGTTTAGCGTTTGTCACGCTTTTTTACGCAGTACTTATTGTTAAATAAAATGAATTCAAAATGAATTCCAGGCCCTTCGTCACTTGATTCAATCAAACATAGCGAAGCGGCTGATTTTCCTTTTTTAAAATCGTAGAGCATAGAAATTTTTTCTTCTCCATTTTTTTTCAGGAAAATAGGGGCTCAGAAATTTGAAATGGGTGTTTTGTTTGCAGAAAAAAACCCCCCGAAAAATCTTTTTGGATTCTAAGAAATCATTGAGCAAAGGAAGCGATCGTTTTGTCAACCTAAAACAAATTCAAAATGAATTCCAGGCCCTTCGTCACTTGGTTCGATCAAACACTAGACATGGAGGTGATAGCGAACGCCGTCAAAGGCTTCTCCGTCATGAAATCATGCTCAATCCACGAACACGAAATCTCATTTATGCGATCTATCACCGTGATTACAACAAATTAGGCTTTAGGAGAATTATTTAATCGAGAAAAGAAATCATTATTTATTATATTTGCAATATAATATAATGCTTGCAATATTTTAACTTGCAGAACAAAAAAATGACAGCTGGTTGTCTATCGGTGATTGTTCAAGCCGAAACACAAACATTTACAGAACTTGCATGGTGAATTGATGTCACTTCCTATTAAGAATGTATTCAAATCAGGCGCCCGATTAAGATTTATTGAATCAATTGCGTAAAAATGTGAAATATGCAATGCAAATCTTGCTTGAATATCGAGTAATCTAAGATTTGAGAGTTAACGCAAAGAATAATTTAACCTAATTGCAAATTGGTTCACGGGAAACCTCAAAATTCGGCATAGGAAATTGTAGAACGCGCAAACGCTGATATTAAGGTCTTTTTACATTTCTTTTGTTAACTGGTTGCAACAAGTTTTTACTGTTTTCTTCATTTTAAGATCTTTTCAGGATATCTTTAGCACCTATCAAGGGGAAAACAATACAATAACAAGTCTCGGGTGTCTCCGGCTCGGTGAATTGACGTCTTTTTCCTGACATCTTTTGTCCCGCTGCCAAATTTTATCCTCTTGAAATGTTGTACGAGTTTTAATTTCTATTTTCTGTGCAACTTCCAAAGGTGAACTAACTGAAAACGATTGGGCTTTTTGTCTTTTTCATTTACAGTCTACGAATCTAAAACAATACAACATTTTTGTTCATCTTTAAGCGTTAGGGAAACATAAGCCTATTGAATAAACTTTAAAGGTACTTATGTAAAGTCCAAAATCTAAATATTCACTTTTCATGTTCAAAAATGACTTTAAAAACCTTTAAAAAGTACTGTAAAGTTCCAATATCCGGAATTCAGATATTCCCGGATAGTTAGATATAGCCGAAGCGAAGTTAATAAAAGTTTTAAGCTGGTTTTAGTCTTTTCTTAAATCATTAGCTTACCAACTAAAACAGAAGTTGAATAGCAGCAAGAAGTTGAATAGATATTGTCCACCAAAGCCACGGCTTATGATGCCGGGGTAGTGGTACGGTAATTGGCTTAGTTGGAGTAATTCTAGTAGCCCGATTCGATTGAATCGGCCCATTTATAACTACTTCAGCTGTTGGAGTTAGGGTTTTCCCAAATTGAGGCAAAGGACTCAAGGTATTAGAAAATGTTGGAAAGCTGGAAAGCTGTTTGGAAAGCTTTTAAAATGAAAGTTAAAAGGTAAAACGTTCAATGTTCCGGGATTTATTCAGATCTCCGAAGTAGACTGAAGGGAAGGACAGAGATTTCAGAGACAGAGTCAGCTTTTCCGGCATAAATCAGCAATTCACATAAAAAGTTGAAAATGTGAAATTTCTTATTCTTGAACTTGTTGACCGGAATTTCAGAAATAAGGTACAGGGTGACCAAGAATTACCGCAACAACTTTTTGGAAGAGTATCTGGGAAATGTCTAATTTATTTTAAAAGCGACAAGTGCTATATAGCAAATTGTAGCCCTAATTCTCGGCAACATTTATCTACCAAAAACTTTGCGATTAGACTTATAGAACTCATTTAACAAGCGCTTGAATGAGCGCTAGTCGACATCTCTCCGGCGAATCTGTCATTTGGCCATTTTTCTCTATTAAAAATTGTTAAGAAAAGCTTTTCAATATTTCTTCAATGCAAAAATAGCGTTTAATATCACTTAATAACATTAGGAATCACACTTAAATGTTTTGGCTAAACTCGTATAACCAAAATTTAAGTTGATGTCAAGCTCTTGATGTCAAGGTTCAAGTTGATGTCAAGGAACAGGGGAAAAGGCAAAATTGGAGTATTTTCGATATTCAGTTCATATGCGTATCTCGTTATACCAGCTGTTCTGGCGCTATGAATTTGTTAAAAACAATTTTTTTTTTGGATAAAATTACCACAAATTTGACTGAGAAAAACTTTTCCGAATGAAATTTTTTCATATAGAAAAGTGGCCAAATGACAGATTCGCCGGAGAGATGTCGACTAGCGCTCATTCAAGCGCGTTAAATGAGTTGTATAAGTTCAATCGGGATGTTTTTGGTAGATAAATGTTGCCGAGAATTACGGCTATAATTCTCGGTATAACACTTGCCACTTTTGAAATAAATTAGTCATTCCCCAGATACTCTTCCAAAAAGTTGTTGCGGTAATCCTTGGTCACCTTGTATTACCTTGACGTCCGCTGATGCATTAGAATTACTAAATTGTGTGTTATTTTGACCGCAAGTTTTAGAAAAAAATGACCAATGTGTGAGAAAAAGTAACATGCAAACATTTTCATTGTCAAATCAACAAATGAAAAGTAAAACTGGGCAAAAACACAATAGCAACGACGGGATGAGAAAACTTGTTGCATTTCTGTTTGTTGAGCTCTCTTGGCTCAAATTGCGTATACTTTTCGCTGAATATAATTTACTGTTTATCTAAAGTGCATCAATGGTGTAGGAAGACAAAGCTGTCAAGACAAGATGTCTATTGGAAGCTCAGACATTATTTAAAAATTGGCTTAAATATTAGAGGGCTTGGAAAGTTTAAATATTAGGTTGATGCAAAAGTCTTTTTCATTTTTTTCGTCTGCCGTTTCAAGCCAACAAAGGCACCAATTAAACTAGGGTTGATTTCATTAGAAAAACCAATTATTTTTCTGCAAAATAACATTAAAACGGGTTTAAAAATATTTTATGCCTGGATTTTCTTGAGAGTATGAAGTCGGGTAGTCAAAAAGGGCTAACTCGATGATGCGGTTTAGACACCTTAGCTAAAGAAAACCTATCTTCGTGTCAATAGATAAAAGATAGAGAAAAAAAAGTTTGAATTTCAGAGAAAATTTCAGAGAAATTCATTCAGCCAATTTTTCCGTAGAGTTTTTTATAGATTTTTACGAAAAAGGCGTTTTTCACTCTCGAATTTGCTTGAAAGTGAGCCGAAATTCATTTAAAAAGATGGAAATTGAACAAAAAAACACTTTTTTTATAGAGCAAACTATAGATTAATTGGTGAATTTGTTACTTTTTAACAGAAGTACGAAAAAAATGAAAAAGACTTTTGCATCAACCTAATAACTTAAAACCTTGAAATATAAATTTCATAGTAACAACGCTTTTTGTCGGTTTTCTTATCTGTAGAGCAAGTTGATGGGGAGAAAAGAGAGATGTTCACTTTTTTGGTATTCTTAACCTTGAATCATGAAATTTGACAAGCAGCTTTCTCAAGTTGAATGAAACGTTCAGAATATAAGATTTTCAATTTCAATTTTTTCATTTTTTGCCTCGTTGACTGATTGTTTTTTGCTTGAAGCTGTCTAAGAAAGTTTAGATACAGTCGACTTTCTCTATAAAAGAACTCTAGATAACCAAAAACTTTATACAATGGAATGGAATTTAGGTCCCGGCTGACGCTAAGCTTGATCCAGCCATTCACGAGAAAAAGTCGTGACTCAGCATTGAGTCACGTGGTCCGAACGGGTAGCCAAGCGTGATTCAGTATGGAGTCACGTGGTCGAACGGGTAACCAAGCCTGACTCAGTATGGAGTCACGTGGTCCGAACGGGTAGCCAAGCGTGAGTCAGCATTGACTCAAGGTGACTCAGCATCGTCTGAGTGTTAAAAGAACAGTACATGGTGTTCAATATTTATGGGGACCAATAAATCACTAGGTTTAGAGCTCGTTTTGTACAAATCTAATGTTAAAAAAGAAAAAAAACGTATCAAACATATACTTGAACAAGTTTAAGTCACTTTTTCGGTAATCCAGTGATTTCTTAATGATTTTTTTCCTAAACCGATTTTGGAAGCGCTAAACAAGCTTCAAACTCAAAAGTCTTCAAAATTATTGAACACTCTGTATTATCTTTTGTAAGCTTTATTTCGAGCATCAATCATTACAGTAAAGATGCAGTAGAAGAAATGTTTATCACAAAATTCGACTATGAACGATTGTTTTTAGCTGGAAAAGTGACTAGATCAAATGAATTATATGTGAATTCTTTGTTGAAAATCTATGGGATCTTGTCCTTCAACAATCTTCATTATTACTTCCGTCTTGAAATAACCAGCATACTAAAACTTTGAAGTACTGTCATTCTTTTAGAATCTTTCAGAATACAGCCAAATTGTGATCCAATTAAATTCATTAAATCTAATTGTAAATTGGTACATCGTTCATAAAACAGAGCTTTGAAAATACAAAACTCACAAGCAAAAGGCCAGCAACATGGACTCAGGAGAAGCACGATAATAATGAATCATTTGCAAGTTTGCGATTGTTTGACTGTTTGGACTGAAAGTTATCAAAATAGTCTAGTATTGGATCTTGAATGTGAAATTTGAAAAACTTTGATAATGGTTCATTGAATCTAATTGTAAATTGACCTGCATTTTCAAGAAATGTACTTCGATTTTCGGTCACAACCCGATCCGGAGGAAAGTGATCCATTTTAAAGATTATAAAGTTAAAATAAAAAGAAAATTTCAATGTTACGTCGATTTTGGACTTCTTATCTCTAGAGTTGACTGAAAGTGACCGTTTTTCGGCAACTTAAGGTCTAATCTTGAATTTTAATGACGTATCTCTCCCAAGTTGAGTATCAACATTGGAAAGAATATATAAGAATATACATTGGATACATTGGAATATACATTGGAAATGTAAAAACTTTCTATTTTCAGATCTATTGACTGAAACAGATTGCCGATTTCAATTAATTTTAATATATTCACAATCAAGGTGCTCTAGACTTACAAGGAAATGGCTGAGACTCGAGGAGAGAGCTCTTAATGACCCAAATGTTCAAGGTTCTGGTCGTTCATCACCATGGTCGATTGGCTAAGAGCCCTGCATCTTAGTCGGAAGGTCAGAGGTCCGATGGCTAGATTATTGGTTGCTTTTTCTCATATATATACAGTGGCGGACAATTAAATAGAACCGATGCTCCATTTGCACAAAAACCACGAATTTTACATTATTTTCACACCCATTCAAAAAAACATCAACAGCTATTTTTTTTAATGTTATCTTAGCTTTCCAATGGCACCGCTCTTAGCTGAAAGTTCTTTCTCTGTAACTTGATAGTTTAGTTTTTCTTCAGCCTACCCCATTATAGCGGGAATAGAACCGATCTTGAAATCTGCTTTTTTTCGAAATTTTCGATTTAATTAGTTTTGTTGCAAGTTGTCTCTCTTTAGATATGGGACGAGGAATTCATATCACACCATTTCAAAGACAGGAAGTTGTGAAATTACGAAAAGAGGGCAAGAATTTTGCGGAAATTGGTTGCGCACTGAAAATCTCGAAAGCTGCTGCCGTGAAAGCCGCAAAGCATGTCGAAACAACAGGATCTATTCAGAATAAGATACGGAAACGATCTAGAAAAACTACGTCCCGCGAGAACGGATCATTCATCGACTTTCTGAGGCTAATCGACAAAAAACTGCCGTTGATATTCATTCTGAAACTATTGAATGCCTCGCAAGAAGTGTCACTGTGCGAACGGTTCAAAGAATTCTTAATCGCTATGGATTGATGGGTCGAGTAGCAAGAAAGAAGCCCTTTATCTCCAAGAAAAACCAAAAGGAACGTCTAAAATTTGCCCGAGAACATTTGTCGTGGACTGACGATGATTGGAGCAAGGTTTGTCATTTGTATTATGTCAAAAAAGTTTTGTTTTTGAAATCCAGGTACTATGGACAGATGAATCAAAGTTTAATTCGATGGGTTCCGATGGAAAAATGTATGTTCGACGTCGCGTGGGCGAGGCTTTTAGTCCAAAATGCACCAAGGCCACGTTGAAGCATGACCCAACATCAGTCATGATCTGGGGTTGTATGACTGCTGAAGGTACCGGGCCTGTATATCGTGTTCAAGGCATTATGGATCAACATAGGTACGTGGATGAAATTTTAGACAATGTGGTTGGGCCATATTCAAACACTCTTCCTAAAAACTGGATTTTCCAGGTGGGAATTAAGAACGTCTTTTGCTGACATCAACCGTCTAGGCTGGCAACGATCCCAAACACACGCCCAAGAAAGCAATTTTAGCCATTTTAGGGCATTTTTGAACCTAAACTTTGGGGGCTCAAAAAAATTATTTTTTTTACTGAACCAAATGAGCTAATTTCAAAAATTTATTATAAAATATATGTATTATGAACATTTTTTATGTGGGTGACTTTTTGATTGGATGCCCGGAAATACCCTCATTCGTTAGCGGCTGAATTTCGTAAACGGCTACGACATATATATGGGTTTTTCTTCCCTACATTTAGGGCTTAAGGGTTGTGCTTTTCTATTGTTTGTGCCACATTATTTGTGTGAATAAAAATGTGTTTTTTATTTCTTTGTTAGAAGAGATACAAGATCAATAAATCTTCAACGCGTTGCTTTTAGAGTAGGATGATAAAATGTAGCTGTATCATTGTTATCACCGTCAAATGGAATGTGTACAATAGATACAATGGTTGCTTCAACTATAGAATGAGTACAATGGATACAATGGACTATCAAAAGTGAGAAAAAGTCAATACGAGTCGAGTAAATGTCTCTATTGAATGCTTTCTAATTAAAAGCTTTATTGTTCTTTACAAGCTTTATTTCAAGCATATTAAAGATGTATTAGAAGTCGAGAAGTGATTAACTATCACAAAAAAAGCTGTACAGACTGAGAAAGTAACTAAAGAAATTCTTTATTAGAACATTTGCTTATAAAAGATTTGCTTTATAGGCTTGTATCATTAACCATCATCATTGTCATGACTATGACAATAAGCAATTATACCGCAGACTGAAATTTCGGTGTTAATTTTGTCTATGGTGTTACAGAATGCATTAATATCAGATTTAAAAGTTTGAAACCCACCAATACACGGGAGAAGGGGAAGGCAAAGAACGAGGATAAAGCAATGAAGCAATAACTTACAAACATCTGCCAGCACTTCCAAAAAACATCCACCTACAGGCAAGAGTATATCGGCTGAAAGATAGCAAAAGATTTAAAAGAAGAAAGATACCAAAGGTGAAGCTGAAGTGATTACTACTGTATCTTGTACTTGAAAATAATCAGTTCAATCTAAAGTAATTTCAAGAGTGTGCTATTTCAAGAGCTATCCAGCTTTCCAGTTCTCCCGGTTCGATTTGGTTACCGGATCACTATGCAACCGTTCAACTGTCCTGTCTAACTATTTCTGTATCAAAAACAACAACCAACAAGTCCTGTACAACTGTCTAACCGTGCCGATTCGTTTCAAGCGGACCAATCATTCATTGGACTCAGAAAAACAGTCGTTTACTAAGCTATGAATTTAGGCTCGGCGAATTTGTCCGGTCCGGCTCGGTCCAAAATACCGTGAAACGGATTTAACTGGATTTCCGACCGTATAACTCTGATGTCAACGTTACTGACCTGTATTGGATCTTCTTTTCTTGGGCTGAAGCCAGTCTTCAACAATGGTGTCAACGTCTATCACACTTCTTGCTTGTGAAGGTGGGTGAGTGACCAAATGCACATTTCCATTTAGATCAATGGAGTAAGCTGTAGGGCGTAGCATTAATGATGCAACGTCTAATTGAAGCTCATTGTCAGACAACGTCCCACAATCAGATTCCATAGATATTAGAGAACAAGGTTCGCTTTTTAAAAGTTTCTAAAATAGAAATTTCAATGTTACAACGATTTTTAATAATTTCTTATCTCCAGGGTTGACTGGTGGGTGTCAGATTTTCAGCCTTCTTAACCTGTAATCTGTGACGTTCGACAAAGCGGCTTCTCAATTTTAATCAGCATGGAAATTGTGGGAATTCTCAAATTCTAAACTTGTTGACCGGTTGCATACGACTTATTTCAATTCTCATTGAATGTTGAAAATCTTTTCTCACTTTTCATCTTGACGTATCTGAATAACTGGACCGCTTGTGAATCATGTGAAGTTTTAAAAGCTTTATTCTAAATATCAGGCATTACATTGGGAAAATACATTTCTTTGTTGGAGAGTCTAAAAGCATCGACACGTCCCTCCAGTATCATCATTATGACAAGCGAAATGAACTAGCCAGATGGCTAAAACGTTGGTGTTAGTCTTGTTAATGAGTTCAAGTGTTGATTAGTTCTTGGTTTCTTTCAAAAATCACTCAAAAACCTTTAAAATTCGAAACTCACCAAGAAAAGGCCAGCAACATGGGCTAAGGACAAGTATAATAATAATAAATATTCTACAGCTTTGCGATTGTGGCGAAATGTGGAATAAGACATTGCTACAACATATGCTGCAAGCCTGCGATCGCCGATAGCCACTCCGATGATTGATATCTTAAAAGTTCTACTGTAGGATCAAAAATTTAGGTAGTTAACGATAAGCTCTTGTTCGGAAAAGAGTTGGTGTTCGGAAAACCCTGCTAGAACAATAATCATTTTACAATACTTTAGAACGTTACTTGCCTCACGCAAGTTGAGAGAAGTCCAGTTTTTCAGTGAATCAGTAGTTTAGCTATTAGAATTTCAATTGAATACGTGAATAGCTATCTTGAAAGCAAGATGTTTTGTTAATTACGATTATTAAACACTTTAACCAACCCTGCACTCCAACCGTTCTAGGTTGTTCTCGTCTCGGTGCTCGGATAACGTTCTCATGATTCAAATGCCCGGTTGTGGTCTCGCGTTGGGCTGCCTAAACTTCTTCTTTTGAATAAAACACAAAGAAATATTGTGTTTCCATTTAGCACAAAATACATTTCAGACAGTTTAGTTTAAAGTCTGACTTTTCTTTCCCTTTGCAGTGCCCTTTCGAGACGTTTCCTTCGCGCCATTTCTACTCGAAGAGCTGCTTGAAGAGCTTGCGGGTCCAAATTCTGAATTCTTGGCTGAAAAAGGAATAGAATATAAAGTAAAATATAAAGAAAATAGGTTTGAGCCTTTCGATTAAGGGAATGGCTTTAGAATCAAGTAAAGAAAATGAATCTGATAATAAGCTTTAGATCAAAAAGATACATGAAGCGCAATACTATACAGTGCCGCACCTTGTACAGTAGCGATACGACTAACTAACAAAAAAAGGTATCGATGTAGAATCTGGAATAAGATTAGAATATTAATACTAATTAGAGTACTTGGAAAAAAGAGTAGTAAAAATAACCGGAAATACCTTTAAATGTTATGGCTAAATGCTTGTCATTGATAACTTTGATAACCATTGTCAGACTAAGACTAACTTTCCCCTGCGATCCCCACAATCTAGCAACAACCTACGTACAGTAGCTAGAAGACTAACCAACAAAAATGTATCGAATTAGAAGCTGGAATTAGATTAGAATTAGAGAACTGGAAAAAGTATAGTAAAAATAACGGGAAATACCTTCAAATGTAATGGCTAAATGCTTGTCATTGATAACTTTGATAACTTTACCTCATCAGTCTCATCTTCAACGTACGCTGGAGGTGGTTTATTCTCCGAAAAAGATGAAGTACTAACTGAAAAATGCTAAAAAAATCCAATAAATTCATAGAATTCAAAGTTGACAAAGTTTAAAACATTCAAAACATTTAAAATCCAAAATTCCTGAAACAAACCAAAGTCTGGATACGCTGGTGGAGGTCCGCTCATCCTTCAGAATATTCAAAAAACTCAATATTGACCAAGGATACGATTTTTTTGAAGTAATAAAAATTTTGTGGATGTTTTCCGTCCAGCAATCACACGGCTTCTCTTTCAAAAAAGGAAAATGCCTTATCATGAAAAATTCTGTAAAAATTTTTCCGTCTTCGTCACCTTTCTCTCATGACAAAAAGATAAAGGAAATTAGATTAGTTTCGAAACTTCTAAATTGGGATTTTTGAGACAATCCGGATAAGAAATGGTGACTGTTCACAAATTTCCATTTGAAAGGTATGGCAGTGATTGATCGCTCTTTGGAGTTGAATGTTTCTGACAAAGAACTCTGTTCAGATTCAAGATTGCAAAAACTTTGATGGAAAATAGATCTATCCAATGAAAAGACAGATTCTATTTTCCATCATAGTTTTTGCAATCTTGAATCTGAACAGAGTTCTTTGTCAGAAACATTCAACTCCAAGGAGCGATCAATCACTGCCATACCTTTCAACGAAAATTTGTGAACAGTCACCATTTCTTATCCGGATTTTCTCAAGAATATATCTTATTATTATACTTATCCTCAGCCCATGTTGCTGGCCTTTTCTTGGTGAGTTTCGAATTTTAAAGGTTTTTGAGTGATTTTTGAAAGAAACCAAGAACTAATCAACACTTGAACTCATTAACAAGACTAACACCACGTTTTAGCCATCTGGCTAGTTCATTACGCTTGTCATAATGATGATACTGGAGGAACGTGTCGATTCTTTTAGACTCTCCAACAAAGAAATGTATTTTCCCAGTGTAATGCCTGATATTTAGAATAAAGCTTTTAAAATTTCACATGATTCACAAGCGGTCCAGTTATTCAGATACGTCAAGATGAAAAGTGAGAAAAGATTTTCAACATTCAATGAGAATTGAAATAAGTCGTATGCATCATCACGATTTCAACCGGTCAACAAGTTTAGAATTTGAGAATTCCCACAATTTCCATGCTGATTAAACTTGAGAAGTCGCTTTGTCAAACGTCACAGATCACAGGTTAAGGAGGCTGAAAATCTGACACCCACCAGTCAACCCTGGAGGTAAGAAATTATTAAAAATCGTTGTAACATTGAAATTTCTATTTTAGAAACTTTTAAAAAGCGGACCTTGTTCTCTAACATTTATGGAATCCGCTCGTGGATTGATGTCTGACAATGAGCTCCAATTAGACGTTGCATCATTAATGCTACACCCTACAGCTTACTCCATTGATCTAAATGGAAATGTGCATTTGGTCACTCACCCACCTTCACAAGCAACAATTGTGCTAGACGTTGATACCATTTTTGAAGACTGGCTTCAGCCCGAGAAAAGAAGATCCAATACAGGTCAGTAACGTTGACATCAGCGTTATCTCGGAAATCCAGTTGAATCCGGTTCACGGTATTTTGGACCGAGTCGGACCAGATAAATTCACCGGGCCTAAATCCTTGGCCTAGTAAACCACCGTTTTTCTGAGTCCAATGAATGATTGGACCGCTTGAACCGAATCAGCACGGTTAGACAGTTGTACAGGACTTGTTGGTTGTTGTTGTTGGTATAAAAATGGTTAGAGAGGACAGTTGAACGGTTGGATAGTGATCCGGTAACAAAATCAAAATCCGGACGGAACCGGAAGAACTGGAAAGCTGGATAGCTCTTGAAATAGCACACTCTTGAAATGCCTTTAGATTGAACTGATTATTTTCAAGTACAAGATACAGTAGTAAGCGCTTCAGCTTCACCTTTGGTATCTTTCTTCTCATAAATCTTTTGCTTTCTTTCAGCCGATACACCATTGCGTGGAGCTGGATGTTTGTTGGAAGTGCTTCCAGGTGTTCGTAAGTTCTTGATTGGTTGCTTGATCCTCGTCCTTTGCCTTCCCCTTGTCCCGTTTATTGGTGAGTTTCAAACTCTTAAACCTGAATTTAATGCAGTCTGTAACACCTTAGACAAAATTAGCACCGACATTTCAGCCTGCGGTATATATGCTTATTGTCATAGTCATAACAACAATGATGATGGTTAGTGATACAAGCCTATAAAGCAAAGCTTTATATGTTCTAATAAAGAATTTTTTTTTAGTTACTTTCTCAGTCTTTACAGCTTTTTTTGTGATAATTAATCAATTCTCGACTTCTAATACATCTTTAATATGATTGAAATAAAGCTTGTAAAGAACCAGAAAGTTTTTAATTAGAAAGCATTCAATGGAGGCATTTACTCGACTCGTATTGACTTTTTCTCACTTTTGATAGTCCATTGTATTTATTGTATTCATTCTATAGTTGAAACAACCATTGTATCTATTGTATACATTCTAATTGACGGTGATAACAATGATACAGCTACATTTTATCATCCTACTCTAAAAGCAACGCGTTGAAGATTTATCAATCTTGTTGTAAGAAATATATTTATACTTTGATCTTTATAACTTTTTGTGAGACCGTGTCTCGGTGTGGTTCAATGGTAGATGTCTTGAAAACGCACAATTTATCAAAGCTTTCCCTTATTAGGGCAAACTTCGCTCAAACTGGAGCAACCTGGCACTATCAAAATTACTTCAACACTGGCGTGAGAAAAAAGGGATGAATAAAAAAAGGGCGCACACAACCGACTCAAAACAAAGCTTAAATAATGGGTTTTCAAGTACACAAACTAAAGGACAACTGAATATCGTCTAGTGGCTGATTACGGTAGTTTATCCATCAGCTTTGAATTTTAAGTTGTGTGTTGAATTTTGACTAACTGCAGAGCAGTGGCAATTCGTCACAAACCTCAATTGTGAAAAGGTGCACTGCTCCGTCAATTACTTCTATGGCGGGCATGATATGCAGAGGTTCTAAAGGAGAAATTTCTACTTGCAAATTTGTTTTAACAAAGCTACAACAGAACACTCGATAATGAAAGAATCTATTCGTTTTTCAATTAAGTAACGGATTATTCCAATGTTTATTAGTTATAGAACCAGTTTAGTCAGGTCTCGAGCTGACTTTTGCTCTTACAACTAATGGCCTAGTTAAAAATGTATTATCAACAAATCCAGTAAACCTTTTAGAGATATGGCTTCTATGATGGATTGTCGAATCCTCGTGCGCCGCCTTCATTGTGGTGGATCTGATTCAATTCAGCCGCTTGCAAAGTATGCGTTGATTATGGTAAGTGGAAAAATGAGTTCTTTACATGATTAGATCCAAGATTTTCTTTTTGAAAAACGTTTATAAGAAATAAAGCTCAATTTGAAATTGAATTTTGACTAACTGCAGAGCAGTGCCAATTCGTCACACTTGTATCTCTTGTATCTCTTCTAAAAAAGGAATAAAAAACACATTTTTATTCACACAAATAATGTGGTACAAACAATACAAAAGCACAACCCTTAAGCCCTAAATGTAAAGAAAAACCCCATATACGAGAAAGCTGTTGTGCCCTGGAAGAGGAGCCATCCCAATTTGGCCCTTCAACAAGATTGGGCGGAGCCAAAACAACAATTCGCTTTCTCGAAACCAAAATTGGCTCTTTTTTGACGAAGGATCAATGGCCTGCAAACAGCCCGGATCTCAATCCGTTGGACCTTTCGGTTTGGGGTTTTATGGAAGAACAATTGAGAAATAGGAAAATCACCAATTTGAATGATTTACGTCGAGAATTGATCAAAATCTGGAACGACTTAGATGCAAATTATCTCCGCCGCACCATCGATTCTGTAAAGAAGCGAATTGAAGCCTGTATCAAAGCGGATGGAGGCCACTTCGAAAATTTCTTGTGATTATTAAATGCTTTTGTTACAACTATTATATAAATAAATATTTTTACATTTTCTTTGAAAGAAAATTAAATTATGGCGTTTTCTTTGGCGCACGTAATTTTCAGCCACCCTGTATATGTCGTAGCCGTTTACGAAATTCAGCCGCTAGCGAATCATTCGTTAACGGCTAGCCGATTCGTTAACAGCTAGCCGATTACGAATGAAACTTTTTGCGCTAGCCGTGTACAATTTGTAATCGGTTTCTGCGAACATGGCTCGATTCAAATGAGTTTTTCATTTCGAACTATTTATGCAAAACGGAAATCAGCAAACTAATCACAACAAGTGAAATAAAATTTATAACATTTAACCCTTTTCCCTAAACAAAAGCAATTAAACAAACGCTACAAAAAATACCTTGAGATCCGGTTGCGGTTGAGGTTGCGATCATTGTAAGTCAAAGAAAATTTTGTGTTGATTCTAAGCTAAATGATCGTTTTTGATCGTTACTTATTATAAGAGAGAGAGAGAGAGAGTATATCTGTACAGAAAATGGCCGTTAATCATTTTTGTTCCTCCATTTCTTTATTTCTTTACTAAAAAAAGTAAAATTTACCCTGGTAGTTTGCTAAAATTAAGGAATCTATAGCAGAAAAAAAACCGTCCTCGTAAAGCTGCCGCATTTCTTGAAGTCGGACACCGCGCGAAAGACTTGATTTTCGTCGCAGCTCATGTCAAAAGTTGACACGATTTTTCGCGTCATATTTATGAAGTATACTAATACTAAAATTAGGGTAAAACAGTCAGGTTTAACAAATGTTCATCACAGGCTGAAAACCATTTCTTAAAGTTTGCAGCTGTCTCCTGACTCCCAAAAAACACCTGCTTCCATTTTTATTTCCAATTCGCCCACTCTAGTTTTTGGGTTCAGAAACCGTCAAATTTGGCTCACTTTTCCCACCATCAGACTCAAATGTCAGAATATTCAACTCTCGAGACTCTTTATTTAATTCCACTTCCAATCGATGGCTTTATCTGCTCACTCACCATTGGTATATTCAGTTGTGTGAAAGCTCCAGATCATATTCAAACGTTCAGAATGCTTCAAATTGCAATCATTGTAAGTCAAAGATAATGTTGTGTTGATTTTAAGCTAAATGATCGTTTTTGATCGTAAGAGAGCGAGAGAGAGAGAAAATTATGCGTCGGTTATGCGATTTCAGAGGAAGCCAAATTAGGGTGGCCAATCTGTGCGACTTGAGCGGCTGCTGTGATTGCAAGGTTGGCCAAACAAGTTTCTGTACCTTCTACAAACTTCTGTGTCGATCATCAAATCCTTTTATCGTTTGGACATGAACATCGACTTACGGCTGCTACGGCAAATTTCATTTCTTGCTCAATTGATTGTTCACGAATTTCCTTTACTTCGGCCTCCTTAAATTTTCCCGCAAATATAACAATCTTGCAATCAACCGAATTGCTTCTGCTTTTTTTGTATAAAAAGCATCAAATAAAAACAAAATAATAGTTATCGGCGATAAAAATTTCTCACCCCCTTTAACATCTCATTTCAGCTATGTTCCAAATCAATCACGATTACCTTGTCCTTCTTTCGCCCTGTCCTTATCCCATCTTTGACCATCATTTCAGCAAGTTCAATAAATTTCAGTCAAACGGAGATTATCATATTTGCTGTAAGATGAGGTGGTTATTGTTTCTTGTTAACTACAAATTCTAGAACATTTATTTATTTCTCACTATCTTTCATCTTCTTTTACATTCGTATAATTTTTTCCTTCGATGTCTCGCTATATCGCCTCCAGAATGGAAAATTCGAGTTCGACGAATATTTTCTGTATGAAAAGAAATCAATTTTGAAAAACCTTAATTTTCTTAGGTTTTTTACATAATCGTGTTTCTTTTGGCGATCATAATCTTCTTTTACCTTGATTATTTGTTGATTCCTTATCAAATACACGAAAATAATGGGGTAACTTTATTCATATTAAAAATCTTTAGAGAAAAATACAATTAAACAATTCTTAGATCAAAGCTTCAATTGATTGCTCTGTTCTTCTAAACGAATCAAATTTCCCCCTGTCAATTGCATTATTGGGACTTCTCGTGGTCTTTGCGATGAGGTTGACCTTTTAAATAAATTAAAGTCACTGTCGAGTTCATACTTTCGACCAAAAATACGTTCAACTTATTTGTTAAGTAATACCGAAATAACTTTAAATAATGAAATAAAAATAAATTGTCTCAAAGTGAAGCTTTTAGTTGGGCCATTGCTATTCTCACTCTTTTATACAAACTTCCTCATCTCGGGCCTCCATGGGGTATTAAGATACAAACAATGCATCAACAATTATTACAAGTTTCGTTAGTTCAGGTACATGAGTGGATTCTCGGAAGATATTTATTAGGTACTGCGGAAAATGACTGCATTTTTCTTACTGATTTCCAATTGCAAAAATTTTTATTTTAAAAAAATCAAATTAATCAGGATAACAACCGTTAGAATCAATGCACTTTTGCCAACGAGTAGCCAGTTTTTCGATCCGTGCAGCAAGAAAAGTCGGGCTGTCTAGAGGTGATGTTGATAGAATTTGTCTTCGAATTTTTCGCCTTTGCTTTGTTCTTGGAAATTTTATCTCGACCTCTAGGTTTCAAAAAGGGGATCGAATGACCGATTTTGTGTTCACAGATCTATAATCTCACTAAAGAATTTTGTCAAGCCAAGATCGAGTTTTCCTTTTCATCAAGGGTTCCGGTAAAACTAAAAGCAGATTCAGAATCTCCGATGAAAATTCTATCAGATGGGCCAAGGTTCATGTGAAAACTCAATCTTGACTTGACAAAATTCCCTAGTTAAAAACTCACGTAAACTAATTGTAAAAAAAAGTGTCATTAAAAATATCTAGATGATCTTTTTGGTGACAATATGTTTTCTACCTTTGATTATAATATTTTTATCAGCACTTGTCCAAGATAAGCAAACAAGTAAGTATTTAAAACTCCTATTTATACAGTGTCCTTTTCAGACAGAATTTTTTCCTATGCACTAATGATAACCACTTTGCATTCTTCCGGCAATTGTCTCATCGTTATTTTTGTGACAAAATACTATCGAGATCTTTTCATTAATCTTTATCTGGTAAGTGAATAGAAAAAGAAAGAGACATTGAGAACAATATGATGAGATTATTTCGTTTTCAGCGTCTCAAAAAACGATTCAGATCACGAGTTGGAGATGCCACTATCTTTTAAGAACAACGCCAATCACTTGATGGCCAAGCTGAAATGGTATTGTTTGGCTAGCGAAGACTGGTACCGATTACCGTATGCTCCAACAGCCAGGCACAGAAAAGCAAAAATCACTGAATGGGACATTTTGAAGATATGAAATTAAAAGAAAAAGTTGACTGGGGTTGAGAAATTTTGTCTGTGAGACTCAATTTCGCTTTTCTGATTCAGGAATACATCGCTTTGCAATTGGACCCAGTGTTGGCGCTAATTTTTGTCTGAATGATTCAAAATTATTTAGAAAAGAAAAACAACAACAAGGATTTTGTGATGATGTTGAACAAAGATTGGTAAAAGTGAAACTCCATGGAATATTTGAAAGCTAGAAGCTTAAGTCACTGAGATGAATCGGAACATGGATATACAAAGTCTGAGGTTTTTGGTAGAGCATAACTGGCTTTCCAGTACCAGCAATCAATCAAAAGCTTTCCAGCAATCAAATTTTAACTGTAAGTCTAATTTTAAGAATAGAAATTTGGTCGGCAATAGCAGGGCATCAAGCAATGATCAGGGCTCGGGTCCACCAAATTATTAAGTTGACAAGAAAGCTCGTAGTAAAAGTTTGCACGGTGATTTCTCAAAAACCAAGCCATGAATTCTTCCCAGATTTTTTCATAAACTTGACTATATTTCAAAAAGTTTTTGACAAAAAAATCAGGGTGGGGTTCAACTAATATAAGAGATTTCTTCAGCTAAAGTAACTTGGTCACTTTTTGAGTGACCAGGCTTTAAATAAGTTTTTAATGGGTTAATGAATAGGCAATTATTCGTTCCTAGGTATAAACGGATGTGGACTAGAATTTGGGTTAAGTTAAAGAGAGTGGATCCCTTTTGAAAAGACATATTAACCCATTCGAAACTTATGCAGCGAATAATCGCTGCAACAAAAACTCAGGAACGGTAAGCAGCGATTATTCGCTGCGGCGCTAATTGAGCTATTTTCATTCAATTAATTGCTTTTTTTTTTTTGCTGTTTTTCAGCATTACATGTATATTCCAATTGTAGCAGATCTACAAATTACGTGGGCAAAAAAATGTTTCATATTTACCCGGAATCAATGCAGTCTCTGGTTTTGCATTGAAATGTTCCATAATAGCTCTAATCTTATAAAGCCGATCTCCTGCAGGATCCAGTTCATTATCACAAAAACGCAGGTTGCGAAGAATAGATTCAAATTTTGCTCTTGACATAATGTGGGACACGTGGGAAAATCCTCCTAATCCAGGCCTGCTACTCCAGTAGTCACGAATCCTCGGTAATTTGACGATTCCCATTTGAAGCCAGGAAGAGCTTGAAAGATTTTGCATCGAAATCCTGCCAGTTTGTTTTCCTTTTTCCATGTTTATTAGACTCGCCTACTAACATATTGATTAATTCGTCGTCGATAAAATAAGAACAATAATCGATAAGATCTTGAAAAGTACTGAAGTCAAATCCAAATCGTTCTTCATCAAAAATAAATGGTGTAGGAGACTCTCTTAAATCTTTCCAACCATCTGGATAAACTGCTTCGGAGTCAAAAATGTCAAAAAAGGGCTTGGTCCGCAGACGAAAAAAAAGAAAAAACGCTGCGGTTTCGAATGGGTTAATAGGCAAATAAATTCGCTATTTTTTGTGTCATCTTCCTGACACTGAGTGTTTTTTCTAAAATAGGTGATTCTGAAAAGTTAAAGCATTAGATTGCCTTAATTAAAATTTGCCTTAACGGTTAACGGCCACGGTTTCTCCTTATGTTTTTAGTATTTTACAAAATTTCTTTAAATTTTGACGAATTCCTTAACATTTTGTTCGTAAAACTTTACGCCGTAATAACTTTCTTGTGAGTAGGGGATTTTCCTCAAACTTTCGATTTTTCTTGTCTGGACAACAACTAAGAATTGTCCGAATTCGGATTTTTGATTTTAAGTCAAAAGTGTTTTCCTATAGTAGCGGATTCGATGTGCGCCACATGAATCCCACACCAAAGTATGGGGTTGTTGGTTCGGCTCTCCCGCGCACTTGAGCTATTATTTTGCATATTCCTTATGCAAACCTTTGTTTTGAGTGAATACGATACATAGCTACATTGGTCTTTTGAACAAAACAATTGTGCAATAGAGAATTTTTTAGATTTTCTCATTTCTTTTTTCAAAAATGTTATAACTTTTTGTAGGGTTGAGCAAATTTGATGATTTTTGCATCAAAATGTTCGTAAGAGTCTCTAGAATAAAACTTATCCCTTCGTTTTTGGTTCTAGACCCTCGTTGTCGAGTTACGAGCTTCAAACTGCAGGGTACCACAAAATTTCCCATACAAAATGACCAAAAAACCGCTAAACCTAAATTTAAAAAATTTCTGTCAGAGGGATTTGTAAAATTCCTTCAGATTCGGAATCAGCACAATTTTCCGCATCTAAAAAAGGTACTCCCAGAAAAATCCGATAGAAAACGCATTTTTGCCTTATTTCGCGCCGATGTGCGAATGGGTCTCATTCAAAACCTGAAATCCAGTACTTAAAATAGGGGAAATGCAAAGGAGTACTTAAAATAGGGAAAATTTGTGATTAAGGCAAATTTTAATTAAGGCAATCTAATGCTTTAACTTTTCAGAATCACCTATTTTAGAAAAAACACTCAGTGCCAGGAAGATGACACAAAAAATAACTAATTTACTTGCCTATTAATCTATCTTTTCATTGGATAGATCTATTTTCCATCATAGTTTTTGCAATCTTGAATCTGAACAGAGTTCTTTGTCAGAAACAGTCAACTTCAAAGAGCGATCAAAAGAGAGTTTAGCAAAACTCGAATTTCACCAAGAAAGTTTGGTGAACCCAAAAATTTAGCTAAATTTGGCCGCTGATATACTCAGGCCCAAAACAAAATGATCAGACGATCAGATCAAGCACTCGATCGACCTAATAGTGAGGCCATGTTCTCCAAAAAATTAACTCATCATTAATAAAGCGCTAGCAATGGTGTTTCACACTTTTAGCATTCGAGTAAAGTTCTTTGCAAGGCCATTGTTCAGAAAGCCTTTCGTTGCAGACACTTTTTGAGAGACCAGGAATATCCTGAACCAAGATTGCGGAACAGATCTCGCAATTAAATGCAATTAAAACATTAAAAACTGCAACTTGCTCAACAAATAACTAATTTACTTGCCTATTAATCTATCTTTTCATTGAATAGATCTATTTTCCATCATAGTTTTTGCAATCTTGAATCTGAACAGAGTTCTTTGTCAGAAACAGTCAACTTCAAAGAGCGATCAATCACTGCCATGCCTTTCAATGAAAATCTGTGAACAGTCACCATTTCTTACCGGATTTTCTCTAAAATCCTATTGATGTAAAGAAATTTCAAAAATAATCTAAGCTTCTTTATCCTTTTGTGATGAGAAAAAGGTGAAGAAGATGGAAAAATTTTGGGGAATTTTTCGTGATAAGGAATTTCCTTTTTTTTAAAAGAAAAACCGTGTGATTTCTGGTCCGAAAACATCAATAAAATTTTTATTGCTTCAAAAAAATCATATTTTTGGTCAATATTGAGTTTTTTGAAGGTTCTGAAGGATGAGTAGACCTCCACCAGCGTATCCAGACTTTGGTTTGTTTCAGGAATTTTGGATTTTAAATGTTTTAAATGTTTTAAACTTTGTCAACTTTGAATTCTATGAATTTATTGGATTTTTTTAGCATTTTTCAGTTAGTACTTCATCTTTTTCGGAGAATAAACCACCTCCAGCATACGTCGAAGATGAGACTGATGAGGTAAAGTTATCAAAGTTATCAATGGCAAGCATTTAGCCATTACATTTGAAGGTATTTCCGGTTATTTTTACTACTCTTTTTCCAGTTCTCTAATTCTAATCTAATTCCAGCTTCTAATTCGATACATTTTTGTTGGTTAGTCTTCTAGCTACTGTACGTAGGTTGTTGCTAGATTGTGGGGGATAGCAGGGGAAAGTTAGTCTTAGTCTGACAATGGTTATCAAAGTTATCAATGACAAGCATTTAGCCATTGCATTTTACGGTATTTCCGGCTATTTTTACTACTCTTTTTCCGGTACTCTAATTAGTATTAATATTCTAATCTAAATCCACATTCTACATCGATAGGTTTTTTGCTAGTTAGTCGTATAGCTACTGCACAAGGTGCGGCATTTATAGTGTTGCGCTTAATGCATCTTTTTAACTTTCTAAGACAATACATTAACCTAAGCAAAGAAACAACAATTAATCATAAGATCTACGCGTAATCTTACATAAAATAGAAGAATCGTAACATTTTTAATGACTTTAACAATCCTAACCAAGCAGTATAAAGCTATGTGGCTTAGGCTATGTTGCTTAGGCGAAAATGATCACATTAACTTTTAATTGACAACAATTACCCTTTCTATTTCCCTTACTATTAGTAGATCAGTTTGTTAGATTATAACTAACTTAAAAACATGACTTTAACAACCATAACCAATCAGTACAAAAAAAGCTATGTGGCACGATACTTAAAAACAGTTAAGTTCGAGTTTGGGGTCTTTAAAAACCGTCTTGTTTCATCTTTTTCTCCATTAATACTTTTTTAAAGTTAATTACTATAAAATTAGAGTTAAAGTTGTGCTTCATTATTGAATCCGAGGCTATCTGGGCTTAAAAATGGTCACATTTTTGAGAAATTCCTTTTTTTCGAGAGTAGTTTTATTCCTTTAAACCTTTTCTTATATGAAATCAATGAAGTATTAAATTTACACAAACTCATCAATCTACTGAAATAATATTCGTAGATTTTAAATATCTAAACGAAAAAAACTGTCAACGCTTATGCTTTTTGAGAAAATCATCCTTTTAGAGCGCAACGCTATCTATGCCGCATCCTGTAATGGCAAACATGTAGCCATAACATTTTAAAGTATTTCTGGCTATTCTTACTATGCCTTTTCCAGCACTCTAATTAGTATTAGTATTCTAATCTAATTCCAGATCCTAATAGACGTCTTTTGTTATTAATCTTCTAGCTATTGTACATAGCTTATTGCTAGATAGGAATAGCAGGAAAATAGGAACATAGGAATAGCAGGAAATGGGCACATTAAGGAAATGCTACATAGGAATAGCAGGAAAATGGGCACATTAACTTTTAATTGCCAACAATTACCCTTTCTATTTCCTTTACTATTAGTAGATCAGTTTGTTAGCTTATAACTAACTTAAAAACATAACTAGGCCAAGTTACCTAGCTGTGCATAATTGCTTGTAATGATGTCTAGCAGGGTCCTGGCAATGGCTAGTTGGGTTTGACCTAAAGCTTATTATCAGATTCATTTTCTCTACTTGATTCTAAAGCCATTCCTTTGATTGAAAGGCTCAAACTTATTTTCTTTATATTCTATTCCTTTTTTTTTTTCAGCCAAGAGTTCACAATTTGGACCCGCAAGCTCTTCAAGCAGCTCTTCGAGTAGAAATGGCGCGAAGAAAACGTCTCGAAAGGGAACTGCAAAGGGAAAGAGAAGTCAGACTTTAAACTAAGCTATTTGAAATGTATTTTGTGCTAAATGGAAGCACAATATTTCTTTGTGTTTTATTGAAAAGAAGAAATCTAGGCAGCCCAACGCGATACCTCACCCGGGCATTTGAATCATGTGATCGTTATTCGAGCACCGAGACGAGAACAACCGAGAACGGTTGGAGTGCTGGGTTGGTTAAAGTGTTTAATAATCGTAATTAACAAAACATCTTGCTTTCAAGATAGCTATTCACGTATTCAATTGAAATTCTAATAGCTAAACTACTGATTCACTGAAAAACTGGACTTCTCTCAACTTGCTTGAGGCAAGTAACGTTCTAAAGTATTGTAAAATGATTACAAGAGGCAAAAAAACTTATCTTAAAAGATTGTCAGCAAGTTACGAAAGAAATTATCAGGCTGTTAGACTCTAATAAACAACCGCAATTCGGTTTTGTATTGTTCTAGCAGGGTTTTCCGAACTCCAACTCTTTTCCGAACAAGAGCTTATCGTTAACTACCTAAATTTTTCATCCTACAGTAGGACTTCTAAGATATCAATCATGGGGAGCCTAGGAAATCACCGGTAAGCTTTTATACCACACCCCGGCTACCGTATCCTTCGCCAGTTGCTTTCATTTTGTTTCCTTTTCATTTTTGACAAGAAAGTTGCGACTTCCGTAACCTTTCCTGGTATCTAATTTGATTTTCTATTGACTTTTCCTTTTTTTACTCGTCCCAATAAAGTTTCTACTAAAGATTTCAATGAAATCATATGCAATTAACACAATTGAAATTGTAAAGAACCACGGGCTGTGAAATGATACATGAAGATAGCTGTGTACCCGTGAATCAAGAGGCGTCTGGGGCGGTGGAACCGTGTTGTGGTGGGTTTACCCTTAAACCCTAGCCCAGGAACCCACACAAACGGGGAAACCACGCCCAACTGACCGTCTCTTTGGGTAAATACGGTATTTAAACAATTTCAGCGCTTGGCTCTCATCCACCGATGCCCGAGCCCAATTATGCTAGAGGAAAGATGACGCGAAGAGTAAGACTTTGTTGGCTCTTTATCATTCTTCTTTGTATTATCATGTTAGTCGTGCCAATATTTTTAATTGCAAAAACTGATTCATAATTTAATAACTCAAAAATTTATTTGTGTAAATGTTTTTCCAAACATCTTACACTTTCTTTAGCCATTAGGATCACTTTCGCTTTCCACGTGTCCTTGCATTGTTCGATGATTTCAGCTTGAAAACTTGGTTTTAAATAGACAGTTAAACCTTGACAGCTTTGAATATACAGTTAAACCATGACAGCAAAAAGATATTGAGGTCTTATGGCGAAATTCTTAGCAAAAAGCAAAAAGCAAAAAGCGCAAAAACCTCGTTAACAAACAGACTTTTCCGTATCCCGACAAATTATTTTAATTAGTAAAATTAGTTTAATTTTAGCCTCAATAACAAACATTACGGCTTTCCACACTTCACTAATTAGCTAAATTCTAAAATGAGCCTTAAAGAGCACCTATTCAGTCTACCTATTCCTATTCAGAGTACTTTTTAAGCAATGAACGTATAAAAGGATTCGTTTTCTTTCATTATTCACTCATTTTGATCATTTGCACTTCTTTGTGACAAGTAATACTTGAAGTTTCAGTATTTTCATTCTACTTTTATTTCCTTTTATCGCTCAGCCACTTTGCACAACTTGTTTGATTGAATATTTGATGTTTTGTATTGATATCAGCTAAAATTTGTGCAAAGAAACTACCCTTAGTTATTTTGGTGTCAATTTTATCATAAGATCGCTTTACATCTTGTTTTTTAAAATAAAATTAATCTTATTTATGTAAATGAAAACATTGATCGTATTAAAGAGCACATTTTTCTATTTTTCTATACTTTTTTTTCTGTTTTTAGAGGGAGTGGGACAAATGCGACCTTCTTTTTGCGCACCCGGACATTTCGCACCTTTTTTTCCGCACCTTACCCATTAGCGCATCTTTTTTCGCGTTTTAAAAAAGCTCTAAAAAGCTAATATTAACCAATTTCTATTCCAAAAGTTGTTTTTCTAGGTAATTTTAGGGCGTAGAACCGAAATTTTGACATATCAGAGCGTGTGGAACGAATTTGAAAGACAAAACGGCTAGATCAAATTACAGAAAATTGTCGATTTTTCTCTTTGTATAACTCCGTCCGTTTGTTTCCACAAGCTCTGATATGTCAAAATTTCGATTCTACGCCCTAAAATTACCTAGAAAGACAACTTTTGGAATAGAAATTGGTTAATATTAGCTTTTTAGAGCTTTTTTAAAACGCGAAAAAAGATGCGCTAATGGGCAAGGTGCGCAAAAAAAGGTAGCATTTGTCCCACTCCCGTTTTTAGATTATTTCTTAGCATTATAAGGGAAAACGATTAAAAAAAAGGTTTTTTTGAAATCCCGTGAGCGTTTTTGTTATCCAGGTTTTGACTCTATTTTGAATTCAAATTATGAAATATAAAATTTCCTTACCCGAACACGATTTCTCAAAGTCAACCATTGAAACGGTAAGCGGAAGGAGGATCGGAATCATGTAAGCGTAGGTAATCTCGTAGCTTTTGATCAGCTAAATAAAACTATGACTTAACAAGAAAAAATTTGGCAATTATTCCTAAAAATGAGGATTTAAAACCACCGTAAATACTCTAATAGAAGTATAAATACTCTAATAGAAATAATGACGAGCGTACAGTCACGTAGTCTAACTTTGAACGTCCCGTTCTCCGCACTGCTTTAAGCTACAGTGTGCGCTTAAATGTCAAATCATAGCCCTTGAAATCTAGTATTTTTTGGAACTAAAGTATAGTTAGGAAAATTTAGGGGCTGAGAAAAAATGCTTTTCTAAAAAGAAGTTAGATTATATGAGATTTGTACGAGAAGATGGCGTTCTATTAGAGCGTTCTATTAGAGCTATTCTATCAATTAGAGCGTTCTATTAGAGCTATTCTATCTATTAGAGCATTCTATTAGAGCGTTCTATTAGAGCTATTCTATCTATTAGAGCGTTCTATTAGAGCAATTCGATCTATTAGAGCGTTCTATTAGAGCTATTAGAGCATTTATGCTAAAATAAACCTCATCTAGACTCTCCCATGGCAAATCCATCGAATCTCTTTCAGCTTTCAATTGTTCAAAGTAGAATTGAATATAATCGTTCAAGCTAAACTTGAGTGTGTAAGAAAATCGTTTTCATTTTCACTTAGTTGAATATTCTTTAACAGAAAGTGTGCTGTGAAAGAGAAAGACAAGATCCTCGAGCGGTGAGCCGACCTGAGTGACCTGGAAGTGATGCTTTACAAACACCAAAATTCGTTCTTCTCAGAAATTCGGGTTTTTCATTGTGCTATCTTATGCAAAACCCAAAGCCAATTCGATTTCGATTCTCTTGCGACTTTTTTTGGGGCAAACGGTTGAAATAAACTCCGCCAATAGGTTCTACGACCCTGAAAACAACGGGTCACAAATTTTTGACATTAAATCTCATTTGGGAATCATTTACAGAACAAAAGACTATAAACTTTACACTTTACAGAACTAACTAAAGTGACTGGCGAGGTGTTCTTTATACGGCCGCGTAATCGTGTAATCTGGCATACAGCCCGGTATAAGGTGTTTCCCTTTTGAAACCTCCAAGGAAAGCTTCGAAGCTTTGAACTGACCTGTTAAAAGATCGGGATTTCCAAAAATTATACAGATAAAGATCAGGACTAAGTTAAAAATGGATTCGATAAATGTGATGCGTTTATGATCTCTTGTTTATGTAAGAGTCATGCGTTTATGCTCTCTTATTTCTATAAAAGTCATGCGTTTATGCTCTCTTGTTTATGTAAAAGTCAAAAGTCAAGTAAATTCACGAGAAGTCAAATTATACGAAATTCAATTCGAAGTGCATTCAAAGACTAAAGAATCAAGTTGATGCTTGAATTTGATAATGTTCTCAATTTTATCTTTATAAATTTCAAAGTTAAGCTTATTGCATTGCTGATATATTGCACAATTTAAAGGCATTCATCCCGATCCCCATTTTTCTGGCCTCTTTGAATTCGGCTCTCTACAGGGCGCCTCCAGAAGGCCTTTTCTTTGGGGCCTACGGGGCCTTTACTCATACGCCAACCTTCCGTTTCCTCTAAAAGCCCCCACAGGTTCTTTTTTAATCGAGTTATTGAATTCTGGAACATTTTACCCCCTCATGTTCGTGATGTTTCCACCTTGGCTAGATTTAAAGCCGCAATTTCGGCAATTGTTTTGACTGCTCTGTGATTCTTTCTTGAAGTATCGATTTATCTTTTGGGTGTGTTTTGAGTGGTATCCTGGGTGATTATTGTGATCCTGTTGTCGCTATTCAACTGAATAAAGCATATTATGAATCTCGCACCTGCCAATCCACCAATCCTCCAACATGAAACTCTCCATATTCATCAGTTTTCCATAGAATATTTGGTGACCAAATGTCACCCTGGCAAAGCATCGGCTTTAAACCTAAATGAGATTCAGAAATAAATAGTGATATCACTCACATGTTGAGCTTCTCAATGCCATAAAATTTTGAAAATTCAAGAAATTTCTGGGTAAATACTCGATGATTTTCTCAATTTCATGAAATAATTCAGAGAATTTTTCACTAACTCGTCGCAATCTCGTTTCTAGGTTCTAGATTTGATTAGTAGAGCTGATAGGCTGAAAAGTTTACCGGCTCATAGAATTTACAGTAAGCCAAGACATTGTTAAGGATTGAGTATCGATTGGTGGGCCAGATTGCAAGGGATTCGGGATTTTGAAGAGCTGGAAAGGGTTGAATTTATAAAGTTTACAAGAAACTCAAGAAACTCACAAAAAGCAGCCAATTTCACTAGCTCATCCAAAGCCTCAAGTACTCCATTTTTGGGTATATTATGGTAGAAGTGCTTTGGAACGGTGTCTGTGATGTACTCCAGGGCAATGTAGCCTAAAGTTAAACTTTAAGGCAACACTTTCAAATAAATGAACCGTTAGGAATTGCTAAAAATCTAATTAGTTAGCTTCTTACTTACATTGAATAGTTATAATGTAAAGTTTTAAAGTTTAAATTTAAAGAAAAGCCAAAAAAACCAAGATCGGGACTGAAACCCGGTCTTACTACCGGTCGAGAGGCTGTCCCATTATCCACATAGCACTTTAGAGCTTAGCTTCGAAATTTCAATTCAATTGCCCTTGCAAGCTTATTTGGGAGATTTTGATTTCAGATTATGAGTCTCCGTACTCAATTTTGTAAGATGTACAATGCCTGCTCATCACCTCCAAAAATGTCCCTTCTTTGGAGGCTTGTAACATTTTTTCTAGTAGACATGGGCGTCGGGTAGGATCGGGTCAAAAGTGACCCGCTGACCCGACCCGCGACCCGGCTTTTTTTTCCGGATCACCCGCTGACCCGAGCCCCGACCCAGCTTTGTTGGACTGACCCCAACTATCTTTTCTAAATTGCGACCTCTCAGTTTCTGAATAATTTATGCTTAATGAAGAAAAGTAGATTTTTGATGAAGCACTTATCGATATATGCAAAGAGTTCACAGACAAGCTCAACAAAGCCACCGCAGAAGCTTGTCAGGATGAGTTTTTGCAAGAAGCAATATTTCTGGACCCATGCTGGAGTTGCAGAGGTATTTTGTATGAAGAGTTTGTCTGGAATAACATCAAAGAGCGGATCCTGTTCAAAAATAGTAGCCTGTCTCAAAAAAATAATCTGTTACGTTTGCTTAGATTCCCATTGTTTTGATGATCAAATTGAGCCCGAAATAAGCAAGCATCCGGAAAGGAATGAAATCAATCCACTGGAATGCCTTCTCGTTGAATGCAATTATACCTTGACTCGACCCGCTGACCCGACCCGGCCAAAACCCAGCCAAAAGTCGAAAATGAACATGTCTATTGTCTAGTCATCGTACAAGCATGTGCCATAAAGATTGTAGAAGCTCTTTTTTAGCTCTACAAGATGCACTATAAGACTTTTAAGAATGCGAAAATTTAAGATGATTTTTAATCTAAAATTGGAATGCTTAAATTAGAGGTGAAAATTTGCGTACTTTTCAGAACGATTTTTATCTACGGTAGACCCTTTGAATCAATTTTAAACTGTGATTTTTGAAAAGAGCGTAAAAAATTGACCATATGAAAGTGTTTTTCGGAGTTTTTTAACGGTTCTCACTAGACAAACAACGCCGAAAAGAAAATCCTCGCTCTGGGTTAACCACTAAATCCGTTAGACGTTTCTCAGACTGTTTTTGGGATGTTTTTTGTGTTAATTATCTTTGTTTAGTGTTTTTATTGAATTTAATAATAGTATTGGAAAACTTCAAAATTCCCGCATGAATTCTTTAGTTTTACTTTTCGATAATATTGCATCATTAAGCCTTGATGCTAAAGTTGAAGATTGATTCAAAAGGATAACTTGCTTAAAGTTAAAGTAAAGATCTTACTTAAAGTCATAAAAACACTATAGTGCATCTTGTAGAGATAAAAAACAGCTTTCAGAATCTCCATGGCACATGCTTGTACGATTTCTAGACAAGAAGATTGTAAGCCTCCAAAGAAGGGACACTATTTTGTAGGTGATATAATTTTGAGCGGTACTGTATCCAGAAACGAAAGCTGTATCTACAAAAAAAGTGTCCCTTCTTTGGAGGCTTGTAATCTTCTTGTCTAGAAATCGTACAAGCATGTGCCATGGAGATTCTGAAAGCTCTTTTTTATCTCTACAAGAAGTTTTTGCCTTTCCCTAGTTAGTTAAATTTAAAACGGATTCGCCCAGAATTCCGGTATTCATTTTCCCAACAAACCTGCATCCACTCCATCTTCTCCATATTTACGTCCACAGTAAAACTTCGGAATTTTGAGATTTTGTGGAACTTTTCTTGAATCCAGTGAGCTCTTATAGAAGAAAAGTTCTGTATCGTGCATCTGAAATTGATTGATTTTGAATTGTTGATATTAGGTTGGTGAATTGAAAACTGCGGGACTTTGAACTAAAATTTATTCAATATAAAACCATCAATTCATTCCAAATAATTTCCATTATTATTGAGGACTTCTGCCCATTTTACAAATAATTTGCGGATTCCTCTTTCGTAGTAGGATTTTGGTTTGTGTGTGAGACAAGTGTGAGAGTCAAAAATGGCGGACTGGAGATGGCGGACAGTTTGAGCACTTTCTTCAAAAGAAACCCATTTTGGTGTCAATAGAAAAGTTGTAGAGAATCAAAAATTAGGCTTATAGCCAAATTTTCAAAAAGATACACTTAGTAGTTTCGCTTAAAATGCAAGTTTTGTGAAAATTCGTAAATTTCGCATTTCTTGAAAACCAGGTTTTGAATCGTTCTGAAAATTTGGCTATAAGCCTAATTTTTGATTCTCTACAACTTTTCCATTGACACCAAAATGGGTTTCTTTTGAAGAAAGTGCTCAAACTGTCACATATGACAATAGCCCGCAGTTTTCAATTCACCGACCCAATAGATTGATTTTGAATTGTTAATAGTTGGATTGAATTGAAAATGGAATTTGATATTCACCATTCTCTCAGTGATAATGATCGGATCATCGATTTTCGGTTTAACAGAAGGTGGGTCCAAATCTGGGGACTCGATTGTGATCTTCACCACAGAGCACTTCGGTAAACGGTCGACGTCGTGAGTCCAATCAAAATCGATGAGAAGCAACTTTGAGACATAACCCTGGAAAAATGGATTTAATAAATAAGTGGATATCAAAAATTAGAATACCGTAAAGATTTTAGTAGAAGAGCCTAGGAGCTTAGGAGGCCTAGGGGCTCTAACTTTACTCTCAAACAAACTCTCATATCTCGACACCAGTACGTTTGTTTCTGCGCGCTTAAGTATCAAATTAAAGCTTACTTGGAGCTTACTTTAAAATTTGCTAGTAAAATTGAAACTTTCCAATGAATCTAACTCTTGTATGTACAATTGGCCAATATTAAAACTCAAAGCCGGTTGATGCTCTTGAAAAAGAAAGAACTTTCAGGTTAAAAAATATTGAGAATAAATATTGAGTGGATAAATTTCAACTCATGAACTAAACACTCTTGCCCCAAGCTAAGTATCTAAGGAAGGGTACAGTTTTAATGTAATAGAATTCAACTCGAAGCTTTATACATATAGTGGAACTTTGTTACAACGTACACTACGATACAACGAACTAAACCAACCATTCCACCGCCAATCACTTTCACCAATCTTCTCTCACCAATCTCAGCCGAAGAGTTAAAACGTTTTTGAAAATCAATCTCAAGGATTTTCCAAGTGATTGGTGTGTCCAAAATGTTTTCCGAATTCATAATTTCTCCGAATTTCTCCATTTTCTGAAATTCATGGCTTAATTTTATGAATTTTAATTAATTTTATTTCTGTATCCTTTAATCTTTATTAATTTTTCAAAAAATTTCAAACAAACTTACTTTTTGGCAGTTGATAGCAGCAATTTTTAGATCTATTTATAGAGAAATTCGTCAAATTTTTATCAGCGCGTTCATTGATCTGTTGACTATTGGAAAATATTGGGAAAAGAGAAGAGGCAAAGAGTTTTCAGAAAAAAAAAGACAAAACCCGTCACTCTGGTGCAATCTTGTGAAGCATTTCAAAGAGAAATTTTATAATATGGAAATAAAATAGTCAATAAAAGCTGGCTTTGATTAATACTAGAGGGGTTAGTTGAAATGTTTCAGTGAAAGTAAACACTATTGCCCCAATCTAAATATCTAAGGAAGAGTATAGTTTTTACGTAATAGAATTCAACTCAAAGCTTTATGCATACAGTGAAACTTTGATACAACGTACACTTCGATACAACGAACACTTCGATACAACGAGCACTTCCATACAACGAACACTTCGATACAACGAACACTTCGCTACAACGAACACCTTGATACAACGAACACCTTGATACAACGATCACCTTGATACAACGCTTTACTTGTTTACTTCTTGTAAAGTTTTTATCTTAAGTGTGCTTCATATAAAGTTTTTTTATTCTTTAATTTTTGAGAACATTCTGATATTTTAGGCGATGGAGCGAGGAAAGTGAACGCGTCGATCAATCGATTTGGCTTTGAAGAAGAAAATACTCGATCAATCAACTTTGAAAGGAACGGCTGATTGACGAAGGGCTTTGAATTACTGCGATCAACAATTTCAACAATTCTTAGGAATTCTCGGCGATTATGGAAGCCATCGATGAAGGAGGAGCGATTCAAGACGATGAAGGAGGAGCCATCGATGAAGGAGGAGCGATTCAAGACGAGCCAATACGAATCAATCGAAGACTCTGTGTTTATTTGGCTAAAGCAAATTCGAAGTCAAAACGAATGTGTTGACGGCAAAATGCTTCAAGAGAAAGCGATGGAGTTGGCAAGCTTGTAAAGAATTAGTGATTTTCAAACAAATGGCAGTTGACTGGATAAATTCAAGAAGCGTCAAGG